TCCAGGCTCTCAGGAGCTCTGAGCTCACTGTCTGGGTCGCATCAGCTCTGGCATTTCCCCGGACACAAAAAGGACTGCATCTCACCTGCACAAAGCTCTCTTTTCCACGCAGATCCAGAGCAGAGCACCACTGTCTGCCAGTTGCCCTGCACTCTGAACTATGGGGTAGTCTCAGGGTGGCAAGGGAGAGAGTACCAACTCCGGGATTGGAATCCCAGCTGTACTAAGTCAGACGAGTTATAATCCTCAATCTTTTTGCATCTTGGTTTGCTCATCTATAAACTGGTATTAGCAAAACCTACCTTCCAAATGTCCTGGGGATTAATGAACAGACCTATACTAACGGCTCAGGAAAGGGTACTGCCTTTATAGGTTTTTCACCAACTTGGCTGAGTAACACAGCTCCAGGCAAAAAACACTCAAACAACTTGAAACAGAAGCATTTTAAAACCACAGTTCTATTGGCACTCTATCGGAAGCGAACTGGATTCCTTTTGGACTAAAGAAGAGCAGACTCATTCTTCTCTGAGAACTGTGCATTTGATTCAGACAGATGCCAAATGCAGGGAGAACTCTGATTCTGTTCTAAGAAGCCCAGAATGGAGGTCAGACCCATGCTGACTCAGGTTTTCAGGTTATCTAAAGCAGCTCACTTCACTGGTCAGACCAGCTTGCAGTGGTTCTCAAGGCCAGATACACATTAGCATCAGTCAGGGAGCTGTTCCAACCTATGGGTGTGCATGCCCCATCCCAATTTCACCAGAATCTCTGCTGGGCAGGGCGGGGTGTGCATGTGTGTGTGTGTGTGAGTGTCTCAGTCGTGGCTTTGTGACCCCATGGACCACAGCCTACCAGGTTCCACTGTCCATGAAATTCTCCAGGCAAGAATACTGGAGTGGATTGCCATTCCCTTCTCCAGGGGATCTTCGTGACCCAGGGGTCAAACTCGGTTCTCCTGAATTGCATGCAGATTATTTACCATCTGAGCCACCAGGGAAAGGCAGGGTATCAATAATCTAAACAGCTCCTCAAATGATTCTCATGTGAGATCCACTGGACCAAATAGCTCCATGATCCCTCCCAGGCATCCTAGAGCCTAAAATAATGTATGATTCAGAGTAAACACTTATTTTTTTTATTTACTTTTATTAGTTAGAGGCTAATTACCTTACAATATTGAGTAAACACTTAATATGCATTTGCTGAATAAATGAATGAAGAGTCTGACTTGTCTGTTTGGCTATTTCCATATTCACAATGTATGGAATAAAAGAAGAGCAGAAAGAGCCGGATTCCTAGTAATAATCCCAAAGCAGTACTGTCTAGTAGAAATTTCAGCAATGGTGGAAATGTTCTATAATCTGTGCTGCTCAGAACAGTAACCATAAATGGGATGTGGCTACTGAATCCTTGAAATGTGGTCAGTGTGACTCAGGAATTGAATTTTAAATTTTATCTAATGTTAATTAAATTCAAATAGTCACATGACTCTGGCTACCATATTGGCTAGTGCAAACGTAGAGTATCTATCCTCAATAAACACATCTACAACCGTGTACTTCCATGTCCTTCTTTTACTGACAGGATCCCATTTTCATTTAAGGCAGCCCCTCTTTACCACCACCTGCAGTCTTTTGAGGACAGCTAATGAAGTTGCCTTGGCCTCCTCCCACTAAGGGTTGAGCCCAAGACACAAGCTACGTCAACCAGATTCTCCTCTCCAGGAATTTTGCTCTAGCTTCAGTGTCACAAGAATAGAAAATGAGTTGGAGTAGATTAATATCAGTGTTGGTGTTGGTATAAAGACACTGTGTATCGGTTTCCAGGACATTAGTCCAGAGTTTCACCACAGTGATGTATGATGTGAGCTAGGCATCTGTGTATTAGTTTCCAGAACATTAGTCCGGAGTGTGATGATCACAACAGTGATACATGATGTGAGAGAGGCATCATTATCACCATCATCCTTGTCATCATCAAAGTCACTGATGTGCCAGCTCCTGAACTAAGTACTTAGGTTGCCTAGCTTCGCTGGGCACCCTTTCTTCATCTGTAAAATGGGAATTAACTCGTCCTAACCTCTTCCAGCGTTTTTGTGAAGACAGACAACGTTCATTGAGCTTTGAGCCAAATAATGAGTTACTCAAGTGTTGTTTAGTGGTATTGCTCTCTGGGCATTGGTGTAGGGGAATCATGAAAAGATTTGAGGCAAGACACATTATCTGGGCCCAGTTCAGAAACTGTGTGACACCAGGCAAGACACTAGTCATTTCTGGGCTTTCAGCTAAAATGAGACAGCATTAGATACATCCTTTTCCAGTTTCTCCATTTTCTAACTTACTTGCATGCCCCACCCTCCTTGCCTGACACCCATCCCTCACAACTTCTAAGAATACACTACAGAAAAGTCTCTAGCCAAGACCATGCTGGCCTTGTGGCCAACTCATTTCTTCTTTCCCCAACAACCTACCTGACCAGAAAGTTGTCTGGGGTAAGCACTCCTATACCATGTATTAAAGTATCTAGCAAAGCACTCTACTGAAATTGTACTGAAACATCTCCTCCACTGGTAGACCATAGGCCTGCCAGGACAAAGACCATGTCCTTCTTATTCACCACTGTATCCCCAGTGCCTAGTACAGAGTCAGGCACATAGAAGGTGCTCAATAGGTATTACTGTTTGAATAAATACCCCAAATCTATTTTACTATTTATCATATTTCAGGAAACCCACAGTATTTGTTACTTAATGCTATATAATAATAAGGTATCTCAATAATAAATCTCGATGTAATAAATAATAAAATATCAATATAATAAAGTATCTCAAAACTTACTGGCTTAAAACACCAATGATCACTTCTTATCTTCCAGTTTTTGTGGGAGAGAAATTCAGACGGGGCACGGTGAGGATGGCTTGTCTCTGCTCCACATCTGGGACCTTGGTTGGAAGACTCAAAGGCTGGGGCCGGAATTGGCTCAGTTCACCACTGTCGGCTATTACCCGAGAGCCAAGCTGAGCTGAGCTGAAGACACTGGCCAGGTCACCTCATGTCACCTCCGCCGTGCGGCTTGTGCTTCCTCACAACATGGTGGCTGGGTTCCCAGGGTGGGGGTCCTAAGAGAGTAGAAGAGAGCCTCCTTTAAGGAAAGAGACAGAGGAAATTTCTCCTTTCAATGATCTAGGCTTCAGGGGTCATCCCATCACTTCCACCACCTTCTATCCATGAAAAGCCTGTCACTACATCCAGCCCACATTAACGAGAATTAGACTCCATCTTCTGAGAGAAGTGGTAAAGAACCTGCACATCTACTTTAAAACAACCACAACCACTTAGTTAGCACAAGAGGCAAGATGCCTGATGAAAGCTAAGTGTCTGGAGGAGCAAGAATTCAGTTCAAATGATTAGCTGTGTGAACTTGAGGAAAGGATTCTCTGAGGCTGGGTTTCCCTGCCAAAACAATGAATAGATTGCAATTATTGTTCCCTGGTGGTATCTACCAGCTTGGAGTCTTCTTGCCTCAGTTCAGTTCAGTTCAGTCTCTCAGTCATGTCCCACTCTTCACGACCCCATGGACTGCAGCACGCCAGGCCTCCCTGTCCATCACCAACTCCTGGAGTTTACTCAAACTCATGTCCATTGAGTCGGTGATGCCATCCAACCATCTCATCCTCTGTTGTCCCCTTCTTCTCCCACCTTCAATACTTCTTGCCTCAAGATCTTAAAAGCATCCCCTCTTAACTAGCCTTCATTATTATTATTATTATTATTATTGGCAGTATCACATGGCATGTGGGATCTTAAGTTCCTGACCAGGGATTGAACCACGTCCCCTGTATTGGAAGGGAAAGGTCTTATCCACTGGACCACCAGACAAGTCCTTTAACTAGCTTTCTTGAAGTCCACTGACTTCCCATTTTTGATCACTCTTGGTTTCTGACACTGGAGGCAGCAAAAGGTTGCTCCTCGATTTAAGGGCCCCAGGATTCATACACCAGGGGCAACTCTAAGAAACATATGTTAAACCACTGAGGACCTCAGGATTCTCCAAGGCCTTTTCGGTCCCAGCCCTGGGGACGTTGAGAAACAATAGGCAGCGACCACAGCCTAAGGAAGCTGAATCTGCCTGCCGAGGGCTCAGGAAGTTGCATTTACTTTTTCACAGTAACTGCTGGTGGAGGAGCAAGGGGAGGAGTCTCAAAGCATGTACCCTAACCCTAACTGTCTCATTTTAGTATTTTGGTCAAGTTCCTTGATTTTGTTCCTGGTTCGTGCCACCACTTTGTGGAAGCATTAGGAGGAGGGAGGGTGTCTTGGGTCTCCGCAGTCCTGCACCCCCACCCCCACCCCGCCCTGCACCCAACAATGACCCGTACTTTCGCCTTTTTTCTGGGCCGACTGACCTTCCCTAGCCATCGTCTCCCATGGGTCACGGTCCTAAGACCCGGGCGCAGCACTCCGCACCCCCGGCCCGTCGTGTGCGCCAGTGTTCCCAGAGCCGAGTCCAGGGAGGCCCACAAGGGGCGAAGCCAGCGCACCCCGCTATCGCCGGTGCAGGTTACCGGGTGGAAGCGGATGGGTTTTTAAGCCTTCACTTGCAGAGGTCGTGATCCTGACCTTTGGATAGCCTCCTCTAAGGAACATGCGCGCTGGGAGGTCTCTGCTCACCCAGTGGGAAGATCTCGGCTGACAGATGGGGAAAACCGAGGTTCACAGAGGGCAGGGATCTGTTGGACGTCCCCGCGGGAAAACAGACCACTGAATCCGGTCTAGAACCCTGGACTTCCAGGCCATAGTCTAGTTTCTAGACCCTGAGCGCCCCAACCAGGCAGTCTCCCTAGGAAGTACCCAGCAGCCAGCCTTCCGAGCCCGGAATCTCCGTGGAGTTTGCGCTCGCTTTGGCAAGCTGCGAACATTTCCCACGCCCCCACCCCTCCAGGAGCCCTGCTCTGGCTTCGCGGCTCCCAGAGAGGGGATAAGAGGAGAGCGCACGCCCACCAGCGTCCGGGTGATGACTTGGGGTTGAAGAATGGCTGCGGGAGGCGGAGGCCCCGGCGGGGACGCGCTGGCCCTTTAAGGGGGGGACGGAGCGCATGCGCGGCGCGGGCCAGAGTCGAGCCGGGTGGGCGGCAGGCCGGCCGGGGACCCCGCCGCCGGCCTCTCGGTTGGCCTAAGCTTCGCCGGAGCCGAGACCTGCGCGGGGATCCGCGCGCGCGCGCGCGGCAGGCCGCTCTCGGCTCACTAGCGCAGCCCGCCCTCGCCGAGGCTTTGCCCCTCGGCTCTGGCTTCCTCCGCGGCCGTGGCTGCGCGAACCTCCAGGCTTGTTCTCCCCGCCCCGCGGTCCTGCCTCCAGCCCTTAGCCGGAGAAGGCGGGGGTGCCGCGGGAGGCCGAGCGAACAGCCGCTGAGCATCCTTTGCCCGTCGCGGCCGCGCCACCGCCCATGCTGCAGCCGGTCCAGGGCGGTGACACTGTGGCCGCAGCCCGCCGCTCGGTGACCCTACGCACCGCCCAAGCGTTCCCAGCTGAGCCCCGGGCCCGAGAGCGGGCCCCGCGCCCCGCGATGGCTCGGCTGGCGCAGCGCGGCGCCGGGTGCCCGGCATCCGCCCGCTGAGACGCGCCGGGCTGGGGACCGGTGGGGCCTGGACGCTCCCCACTTCGCCTCCCCGCCGCGCCCTTCCCGGGGGGCTCCACTGCTCCTGCCCGGGGTGGGGGTGCGAGGGGACAGGAGACCGAGACAAAGCCCAGTTTGTGCGGGGAGTTGGCGGCGGGCGTGGAATGTGCGCGTCGGCGCGCGCCCCCTCCCCGCGCCCCTGCCAGCTGCGAGTCTCGGATCCCAGACTCGTCGCATCCGAGAAATCGAGCCCCATTGCCGCCCTCCGATCCGGGGGGTCGCGACCTCGAAGCCGACTCCCGGCCTGGAGTCTCCTCGGCCCCCCATCTCGGAACGCGCACAGGTGTGGGCGTGGGGTATTTTGTAGAGGAATTTGTTACTCTTCAAAAAACTGGGACCTGGGGCGCTCGGTCGGCGTGGGCACTCGTGCCCAAAGGGTAGAACCCTTTGGTGGCCGCAGATCTGAGCTGCCTGGCCTCAGTTTCCCTCCGGCTTTTCTCCTCGGGCAGCCTAGGCTGCTGTCCGGTATTGTTCTCGCTCTCAAAAGGGGGGTGCTTTGGTGAAAGCTGCCAAGTTGAGATGAAGTCGCTACATGCCGTTTTTCAAAAAGAACCAGGCTTCTAAGGTTCAGCCGGGACAACCAAGCCCCTCTGCCCAGCACTTCACTTTGAGGCACTGATTTTTTTCACCCTCCCATCAAGTAGTGTTTTATTGTACAGAGCCACGCCCTGGTTTCTTAAAGGTGCCCCGCGCTCTGTTTGGCCATGTGTTATCCCTGCAGCTGGTGTGTGGGAGGCCTCCTGTGAGCCACCTTTTTTTTTTTTTCTTTACCCCTGCCTGCTGCTACGTCCTCCCACCCACCCGTCAAGGATTTGGGGATGCCAGGGGGGAAGAAGGTTGTCGGGGGCGGCAGTACCGGCGCTGCCCCCACCGCTGCAGCTGTCCCCTCTGGGGTCCGGCGTTTGGAGACCAGCGAAGGAGCCTCAGCCCAGAGAGATGATGAGCCAGAAGAAGAAGGGGAAGAGGACCTACGAGATGGAGGCATCCCCTTCTTTGTTAACCGGGGTGGGCTGCCTGTGGATGAACCCACCTGGGAAAGGATGTGGAAACACGTGGCCAAGATCCACCCCGATGGAGAGAAGGTGGCTCAGCGGATCCGTGGGGCCACGGACCTGCCCAAGGTGAGGTGTTTGCGTGGGGCTTGCCGGGTGGAGGAGAGCTAAAGTTTTAGTGACCTGGGGGCTTCCAGAGCAAAATGCCACTTTTCCTGTTGGCGTTCAGAGCTACTGGCATGGTAAAGTGTTAAAAACACAGATAGGTTGAACCTGTCCAGAACTTTTACTAAATTACCATTGAGGCTTTTTTGTGAGGTCCACATGCCTTTGTTTCTAGGATTGCCCTCCTCCATCTCTTAAAATGCCCCTATGTTGTGGGCAGAGCAGCAGATAAACTTAATAACGCTAACGGGTGGCTTGACATTTTATTTGCTAAGCGCAAGAACAGTGGGCAGAGAGAGAATGAATGACTGAAGAGGGTCCAGGGTTTCAGATGTTGAGTAAATATTTTCATGTGTTTCGCTGAATTCTCCAAGAGCCTTGTGCATGAAGTGCAGTTTGAGGACCCATTTTTACAGACAAGGAAGCTGAAAACTCAAGTAGGAACTCAGGGCTCCATAGCCAGTAAGTGGCAGGGCTGGGTCTCTACCCGCCCCACCGCAGGTCTTCCAGTTCCAGGGCCTCTGCTCTGTAGGACATGAGGTTCCAGGGCAGTTAGAAGAGGGCCGTGGAGAGGGGCAAAGTTCAGGCATTTTTCTGTGCATTGCAAAGACAAAGTGCAGTCATTTTTCACGACGGCTGGCCTTCAGTTGTGTCACCATGAGGGCCGAGGCTGTCTCATTCATCTTTGTCTTCCCAAGGCCTCCTGTGTGCCTGGCACAGAACCGGCACTTGTAAGCATCTGTTGAATGAAAGAGTATTTGAAACGTTCTGTGCCCTATAGTACTTGGTGGAAAAACACGCCTGATTTTTTCTCCCCAAAGATATGGTTCAAGACTAGGGAAATACTCTCTCAAATGCAGAGACCTGACATTCCCTAAGAAAAGTCAGTTGGCCAGAGGTCGGAGCCCTATGCTTATGCGTACTTGTCCAGGTAAGAAGGAAGGGACCAGAGAGAGTGGCAGTTAAGGTGGATTAGACAGGGAGACAGGTGGCCTGTTTTGTTCTCTTTTTACTAAGTTATTGGTGGAACCATCAGAGACTATCTTCTGGGACAAGCTGAATTCAGTCAACCCCCAGGTTGAGGGTTGAGCTACTGCCTTATATTTTCAAGGGAAATTGAATGTGGTTTGATTTTGAATGGCTACATAATCACCTTCTGAGCTAATTCAGAATTAACTAATTCCCTGTGGTTGGCCATTGTTTCCAATAATTTTTTCTTAAAATGAGCACTGTGGTGCCCATTCTACAACATACATTTGGGGACCCACCTCTGATTATTGGAGAAGGAAATGGCCACCCACTCCAGTATTCTTGCTTAGAGAATCCCATGGACAGAGGAGCCTAGTGGGCTACAATCCATGCGGTTGCAAAGAGTCAGACATACCTGAAACGACTTAGCAGCAGCAGCAGCTCTGATTATTTCCTTGAGATAAATTCCTGGAAGAGGAAATATGGCATCAGAGGATATGGACATCTGTTCCAATAACCCGCCTAGTTGTAAACTCAAGCAGACCCCTGTTGGAGCCACAGTTTTCTCGTCTGAGGTTGAGAGTGGTGTTGATTGTAGTGAAGTTAAATGAGACAAATGTGTTAAAGCATTTTTTTCAAATTTTGTTCCAGGTCTCAGTTGCACATGCAGGATCTTTTTAGTGTGTTGTGCAAATTCTGAATTGCTGCATGTGGGATCTAGTTCCCTGACCAGGCATCAAACCCAGGCCCCTTGCATTACCAGCACAGAGTCTTAACCACTAAACCACCAGGGAATCCCTGTGTTAAAGCATTTAAGAAACTGTAATGCTTCAGGCTGGTGCTGATTACTGGGTGTTCATTCCCTCTGTCCATGCCCTTCAACAGGAGGGGCAGCTAGGTCTCACTCAGCATTTGTCCCAGTGAAGCCAGAGCCACACGCTTCTCCCACATGAGCAAGTCAGGGATTAGCAGATGGCTGTCTAGCCATCCTGCTGATGTCTAAATCAGGCTCTGGGAGAGTGTGAATGGTCCTCTGTAGAACTGTCACCACTTCAAGGGACTAAAAACAAAATTGACGAGCTCATTAGCAGCTGGTCTTGTAATGTCATCTTGTCATCTTTAACCTTCATGCTTAGAAAAGAAACTAATGAGGGAATAACACTATTGTCTGTGGCAAGTTTCATGTATGACATGTATGGTGGTCCTAAAGGGATTTTTGTGAGAGGATTGGGAAAATTGAAACTCCTACTTCTCAGTCAGTTCAATCTCTCGGTCGTGTCTGACTCTCTGCGACCCCATGGACTGCAGGAAGCCAGGCCTCCCTGTCCATCACCAACTCCCGGAGCCTACTCAAACTCATGCCCATTGAGTCAGTGATGCCATCCAACCATCTCAAACTCTGTCATCCCCTTCTCCTCCTAGCATCAGGGTCTTTTCCAGTGAGTCAGTTCTTCGCATCAGGTAGCCAAAGTATTGGAGTTGCAGCTTCAGCATCAGTCCTTCCAATGAATATTCAGGACTGATTTCCTTTAGGATGAACAGGTTGGATCTCCTTACAGTCGAAGGGACTCTCAAGAGTCTTCTCCAACACCACAGTTCAGAAGCATCAATTCTTCTGTGCTCAGCTTTCTTTATAGTCCAACTCTCACATCCATACATGACTACTGGAAAAACCATAGCCTTGACTAGATGGACCTTTGTTGGCAAAATAATGTCTCTGCTTTTTAATATGCTGTCTAGGTTGGTCATAGCTTTTCTTCCAAGGAGCAAGCGTCTTTTAATTTCATGGCTGCAATCACCATCTGCAGTGATTTTGGAGCCCAAGAAAATAAAATCTCTCACTGTTTCCATTGGTTCCCCATCTGTTTGCCATGAAGTGATGGGACTGGATGCCATGATCTTAGTTTTCTGAATGTAGGGCTTTAGGCCAACTTTTTTCACTCTCCTCTTTCACTTTCATCAAGAGGCTCTTTAGTTCTTCGCTTTCTGCCATAAGGGTGGTGTCATCTGGAGAACCTCTATACAGTCAGCAAAAACAAGACCGGGAGCTGACTGTGGCTCACATCATGAACTCCTTATTGCCAAATTCAGACTTAAATTCAAAAAGTAGGGGAAACCACTAGACCATTCATGTATGACCTAAATCAAATCTCCCCCCTCAAACCACAGGAAAAGTTGGGGGGGGGTTCTCCTCCACCTTGGCCCAGAGCAGGAGCCTTGGCCCCAGAGTCTGGGCAGAGTGGAGATGTCCAGGAGGCATCAGGGTCTGATCCCAGAGTGCCAGCAGAGTGGACCCAGCACTGGGCTGCCCCACCCCCACCCCGAGTGGCCCTGTCCCTGGAGCTAACACAGAGGCAACAGAGGTTACACCGCAGTGGGACCAGGAGTTTGTGCTAAGCCACTTCAGTCACATCCAACTCTTTGTGACCCTCTGGACGGTAATCTTCGGGCTCCTGTGTCCATGGCATTCTCCAGGCAAGTGGAGTGGGTTGCCACATCCTCCTCCAGGGGATCTTCCCAGCCCAGGGATCAAACCCCCATCTCTTATGTCTCCTGCACTGGTAGGCAGGTTCTTTACCACTAGCGCCACCTGGGAAGTCCGCCAAGAGTATGGGGGACAGCATAATGTTGGTTTTTTTTCATTTATTTTTATTAGTTGGAGGCTAATTACTTTACAGTATTGTAGTGGGTTTTATCATACATTGACATGAATCACATGGATTTACATGTATTCCCCATCCTGATTCCCCGCTCCCACCACCCTCTCTACCCGAGCATAATGTTTTAAAAAGACCAGGCAAGCCAGAATTCAAAATGGGGAGATGTCACATCAGAATCCAGATTTTTGGCATCTTTCCAGAAAATGACAAGCTCTGAGCACAGAGAATCTGTGACCCCACGTGGCAGCAGGCAGCCGGGGCTGAGGGCTGGTTCCCCTCCCCCAGGTGCCCGGAGACCCCCGCCTGCTCTCTCTGTCTGCCTGCCTTGTTTATGTCACCTGTGTGGCCCCTGCAGGTGGTTGAGTCTGGGGTCCCACAATACCCACTTCTGAGGGGGGCACTGGGAGAAATTGATGAAATAAAGCCTGTGAAGTGGGTGAGCTATAATGTGTACTCAGCAAATAGCGCCTGCAGATGAGGGTCCAAGAGACCACCCCACAGGCACTTTGGGGAGATGTCCTCTAAAAGGATGACACCAGTATGTTAACGGGCGACAGTTCTAGAAGGATCGCAGATCCAGGAGCCGCTTGTGTTCCTTTGTAAGACTGTCTCCTTGATGTCTCAAGCTGCCCCTTGTTTGTTTGTTTGTTTGTTTTAATTATTATTTATTGATTATTTATTTTTGGCTGTGCTGGGTCTTCATTGAGGCACCTGGCTTTTCCCTGGTTGTGGCACGTGGGGACTACTCTCTGTTACGGCACATGGGCTTCCCATTGCAGTGGCTTCTCTTGTTTCGGAGCAAGTGCTCTAAAGCACTCAGGGCTTCAGTAGTTGCAGCACGCGGGCTTAGTTGCCCCACGGCATGTGGGGTCTTAGTTCCCGGAGCAGGGATCGAACCCACATCCCCTGCATCGGTAGGTGGATTCTTAACCACTGGACCACCAGGGAGGTACCCTGCTACCACCTTTTTAAAAGCTCAGTGACCACACATCCAGACCCAGCGGCCCAAGGTCTTCTGGCTGCGGCTCCAGACACTGAGCTCCTGCAGAAGGTGAGTTTGGACGTCTTCCCTCAAAAAGGCAGCATTGCCGGCGTCCTCATGGGCTGACCAGTGTCTCTGACACGCCCAGGAATAACAGCGACAGTAGGCAGAGCCCGAGTGTCTGCTGTGTGCCAGTCCCTGTCCTTAGACCTGGCCTCGCAGTGTTTCATCTAGGCTCTGAGCTTGGTTCTGCTTTGGCACCCACTTGACAGGTGAGGTGTCTGAGGCACAGAGATGGTAAGGATCTTGCTGCCAGACAGTAAACGGTGGGGCTGGGATTTAGACAGCGATGGGCTGGTTCTTGGTCCAGGTCTGTCAGCCTCTAGGGTTTCTTGCTTCTTGTCCACACACTCAGCTGTAGGCTGCCCAACCTCCCCCAAGCCTCCTTTCTGTTCTAGACTGAGATGGACTCCACCAGGGAGAAGGCCTTAAGAGAACTCAGGACATCAGGTGGTTCCTAGAGCAAACGTAACCCTTGGCCTTGGTGGCAGAGGGGGAGTCATTCCTGGATGGATCTGGGCCAATATCACTTTCCTCCACTGTACCCTGCTTCACCCTACCGCTCTGCAGCAAGGGAGCATTTCTGGGCTCCTGGTTTGGGGTGGGGGTTGAGGGGTTGTCACCCCTCCAGCAGGTCTGGTTACTTGGATATACAGACTCTTGCCTGTTTGTTTTGTTTGTGTGAACATTCAGAAGAAAGATACTGGCCCGTTGGTTGACATGAGTTAACATGTCACAGCTGTCAGACAGCTCCCTCCAGCTATGCCTCAGTGGTGGTGTCCTTTAAGGCCCTACTCGTGAATCGTGTCCTTGACTAGCTGGACCTTTGTTGGCAAAGTACTGTCTCTGACTTTTAATATGCTGTCTAGGTTGATCATAGCTTTCCTTCCAAGGAGTCTTTTAATTTCATGGCTGCAGTCACCATCTGCAGTGATCTTGGAGCCCCCCAAAATAAAAGTCAGCCACTGTTTCCACTGATAGAATAGATGTTTCCCCATCTATTTGCCATGAAGTGGTGGGACCAGATGCCGTGATCTTAGTTTTCTGAATGCTGATTTTTAGGCCAACTTTTTCACTCTCCTCTTTCACTTTCATCAAGAGGCTCTTTAGTTCTTCATTTTCTGCCATAAGGGTGGTGACATCTGCATATCTGAGGTTATTGATATTTCTCCTGGTAATCTTGATTCCAGCTGTGCTTCCTCCAGCCCAGCGTTTCTCATAATGTACTCTGCATATAAGTTAAATAGCTGTCTAGTCAAGGCTATGGTTTTTCCAGTAGTCATGTATGGATGTGAGAGTTGAACTATAAAGAAAGCTGAGTGCCGAAGAATTGATGCTTTTGAACTGTGGTGTTGGAGAAGACTCTTGAGAGTCCCTTGGACTGCAAGGAGATCTAACCCGTCCATCCTAAAGGAATCAGTCCTGAATATTCATTGGAAGGACTGATGCTGAAGCTGAAACTCCAATACTTTGGCCACCTGATGCCAAGAGCTGACTCATTGGAAAAGACCCTGATGCTGGGAAAGATTGAAGGCGGGAGGAGACGGGGATGACAGAGGATGGGATGGTTGGATGGCATCACTGACTCAACGGGCATGAGTTTGAGTTGTTGGAGTTGGTGATGGACAAGGAGGCCTGGTGTGCTGCAGTCTGTGGGGTCGGAAAGAGCCAGACACGACTGAGCGACTGAACTGAACTGAACTGGCGGGGTGTGAAAGGGGAAGTAGCTGCCTCCAGACTGAGGTGTCAGCAGCTGGGGACTGCCCAGACCGGAAGGAGGGGGCCAGCAGGGCCGGGGAGGAAGTTCACGCAGAGTCCTCTCCTGGGCAGGGTTTTCTCCCTTGCGCCTTGGCCCTTTGGGGCAAGTCAATGCCTGTCAGAGGCTGTGGTGCCGTCAGGAGTCACTGGTGTTTCACTTCCCTTCATGTCAGAGCCCCGGCCACTCCCGCTGTGCCCTCAGCCCAGCCCCCCGCATGCACCCTGCCCTTCCCTGCCTGTACAGATGGACTCGCTCAGCAACCCCCAGCTGCCGGGGGGTAGGCCGAGGCCGAGGGGCAGCAGGGTGGGGCCTCGTCGCGCCGTGTGAGGAGCCCTGAGGCCACCTCAGAGCTGCCAGCCCTGGGAGCCAAGGGGGACCCCAGCGGGGTGGGCCTTGGACCTGGAAGGCTGGTTCCTCTCTACCCAGGAAAGCCCGACCCGTAACCCCAAGGACCTGGTGGGTGCTTCCCTTGGCTCCTGAGCCTCACTTGACTTGTTGTGGCCAAACTGCCAGCCTTCAAGCTCCCCAGGCCGGAGCGGGTGGCCTGGGGACGCACACCCGGGTGTGGCTGCTTTTCTGACAACTGCTGGGTTGCCGAGGGACCACTCCAGGGGGCCACAGAGCCTAGCCTGACTGCCAGCACCTGGGCAGCCCACGCTGGGGGTTCCCAGTTCTCAGGGTGTCGGACACGTGCCCGACACCCACCCCTTCCCACCACACCCCCACTCTCCCCACGACACCCTCTTCTCCCCATGTCTGGCCGGACTCTGGAGAGTCTCTTCCGCTGAGAAAGACTGTCCAGATGCCCAGTTAGCAGTGTTGTTGTAGGCGTGGCTCTGGCAGGACAGACAGGTGTTGAAGGAGAGCCGGGGCTCCTGCTGCCTCCATGGAACCCTTCCAAAGTGCCTAGTCCACAGCAAGCCCTGTCCCAAACCACGTCCCCCCCTGCACTTCCTTCTTCTTCCCAGGGGAGCAGGAAGGCCTCGTCACTGTGCTGTGATATGGGGGGGGTGACACCCCCTGCCAAGGGTGCGTTCACTAGGGACAGGAACACCTGGTCAACTTGATTTTGAACCAGAGTTGAACCCCAAACCCAAATGAACTTAACTTCAACCTTGACATTCCTGGGGACGCCTTAAAGTTCATGAAATGTAAAATTCCAGACAGCCAGCCTGTGTTTTTTTCTAAAATTATGAAAGAAGCATAAAATTGGAATATCAGCATAAGCTCCAGATCAGAAATGCCGTCAAGGGCTAGGAGGGTGAGGAGTGGCCAGTGCGGGGCTGGGGGTGTGGGGGGAGGGGTGCAGAGGAGAGAAGCTCATTGGAGGGAGTAGCGGGGAGCTCCTCCATGGGACGTGGCTTCTCTGGGGGCTAACCTGGGTGTCCAGCAGGCTGGACGCTCCAGGGTGAGCCTCCCTCCGTGACCAGAGCTTTCTCTCTCCGTACCCAGATCCCCATACCGAGTGTGCCTACGTTCCAGCCCTCCACGCCCGTCCCTGAGCGCCTGGAAGCGGTGCAGCGCTACATCAGGGAACTGCAGTATCCTCCGTGGTCAGGGTCGCGGCTGCCATCCGGCTGGCCCGGAGCCGGCTGGGGCTTGTTTCCAGACAGGGCCAGAGGGCGCTGGGCCGAGCAGCCGCACCCCCCGACTCCAGGGGGTGCCATTCCCACGGCATCTCTGAACCCCCGGAGTCGTGTGCACACCGCCCGTGTCCTCCCGGGTATCGGAGCGGGTTTGTCTGATGAACACCACACCTGCTCTGACCTCCCGGCCGCCCCCTTCCTCCTCTGTGTGATGGGGTCAGTGTCTCCTGACTGACCCACTGGTGGAAGCCTAGTCCAGGTCCGCCAGCCCAGACCTCCTCTGCTGACCCTCCAGGGCCAGCAGAGAGAGAGGCGGGGGAAGCTCCCTTGGGGCTGTTTAAAAACTGGTCTAAAAGAGGTGTGTGTTGGGGGAAAGGGTGTGTGTTGAGGGAAGGTAGCAGGTAGATGGAGGAGAAAAAGGAGTTTTATGCTCCAGGAGACAGCTTCCACATCTTGGACGTATCCCCTACTTCTTCACCTTTTTCCTCCCTGGCAGGAAGCCAGCTGCCCAGCATCGGGAAAGCCTTGGGACACCCCCAAGCCCGGGATTCCCCTGTGTCCCTGAGCTGAGCCTCTTCTAGTCCTGGGCCCTGCCTGGAACTCTTCCACCTGGGCTCCCCCTGACCCTCCTATCTGCTGATTCGGTGCTAGACAGCAGGACCCCTAAGGGCCAGGCATGGGTCCTGAGCAGAAGAAAAGTAAAGCTGGTTACTGAAAATTGGGTCCAGCCCAATTTGTGGGGGAGAGGGTAGGGGGCAGAGATGGGGACTGGTGGCCCAGAGAGGGACTGGTTGGCTTGGGAGCAGCACCCAGCAACAGAGCCGTGTAGGAATTCCACTCCAGCCTTCTCCCATCCGTTTGTGCTGTTTCTCACCAACTGGAACATGCAGTACTGCTGAGAGCTGGTGTCTCTCCCGGCCCTGGCCAACCTGGCTGCCTGCTGCCCGGCTCCCTTCTTGGGAGAGGAAAGCTGGGAACAGAAGATGAGTGAGGACAGAGGGGGGCCCTGTGGGGAAAGGAGCCAGCGGCGTGCTGTGCCCTCCTCTCCCTTCAGACGATCATGCCCTGAGCATCCTCCCGGGCACTCTCCAGAAGCACTCTGGGAGGTCCTTACCCAGCCTGTGCCCCCAGGGTCTGGATGGGGGCAGAGGGACACACCTCTTCCAGATCGAGCCAGAGAGCCCTTAACCAGCACCCACAGGTACAATCACACAGGGACACAGTTCTTTGAAATTAAGAAGAGCAGACCTCTGACAGGGTAAGTATGGGGAGCACAGGTCCCTCTGCCCCAGGTCACAGGGCCTGGTCTGGTTGGAGCCCCTCGGTCACCTGTGGGTGGAAGCTTATCAGGCAGGCAGGGACTCTTCCCAGGGGAGCCCGCCAGCAAAGCAGGTACCACCGTGGGACCCTCCTTAGGATGTCCTAAAGAGGGGACTCTGGTCAAGATGGGCAGCCAGGGCTCCCTTGAGGAAAAGGAACCCCAGTATCCATGCTGAGCCAAGAGGGTGATGGCAGCCCACCCTTGGTGATGACAGGATGGTCTCAGGTGGATGTCTGTGTGTGAGCCTCATCTTCCTTTTAGGAGAGGTGGGCCTCACAGGAGAGTCCTCCCCCTTCTCTCTGTTCCCTGGCATCACCCCAGTTACCTTACTGGACTCGCTTCTGGTCATTTGGTACAAGGCCCAGTGTTTGAGCAGACACTGCATATCTCATTTCCCATTCTGCCCCCCAAGTATAGACCCCTGGCTGGATTCACCCCATGGAAACCCTTAGGGCAGAGTAGAGTGGAGAGTGAATAGCACAGGTGGGTCTGGGGGCTCAGCCCAAAGCTGTCTACAGGTTTAAAACCCTGTGCTTTTATGAGGAATGTGAATTTTACATTGTGCTCCACGTATAATCAACCCATGATCACTTCCTTATGAAAAATGTTTTAAGTGGTTTATTAGCTAAATTACTTAATCACCCCTTCTCTGAGCCCTCGGGGGGAGTGCAGCCTTCCTCACCCCAAAGCTTTGCTCTTGTCCGGTGCCTGCTGTGTGTGCGGGACCAGCTCCAGCCTCATGGGACGGAGGAGTCTGACACCCTCCCCTCAAAGCCAGTGGCCAGGATGCATTCCCAGACCCAGGGAGCAGCATTAGGTAAGGAGGGAGGAACCAGGCTTCAGAGATAGTCTGTTTTAAAGTGGCCTGAATCCCAAGTTCAAGACCAGGCAGAGGAGTCACTGGGCAGCTAACTGCCTGAGATCCCGCGTCCAGTCTCCAGGGAGCTGGCCAGCCATGGGGGAGCAGCTACAACAATTAAAGGTTCTTCAGAGAAGTCATAGTTGGGTCAGGGGTGTCCACTGTGCTCCAGAAGAAACAAGATCAGTGCCAAGGTCTCCGGCATCTTCGGCATGCTATCCCATGCACTCCCCAAACACCATCTTTACAGGAGGCCCCCAGCCCAGTGGCTTTCGAAGACCTGCCTACCACTGCACGCCACCCCCCAACCACCCTCCCCTCCAGAGGACTCTGGAGCAGGACTCTGAGGGAAGAAGGAAATGCAGGGACAGAAGGGGAAGGGGCCTCTTTGCTTACTTTCTGTGGTTGTCTCTTCTCCCTCCCCTTAGGCTCAGGAAGGATGTGAGGGGGAGGTGCTGGGCCTGAGCTGAGGCAGCTTGGAAGGCAGGGGAGTCTTTGTCCATCTAGTCTACCTCCCGATGCTCCTTCACCAGAAGGGACTGGAGCCTTTTTCCTCATGACTCTGCCTTCCTCCCCACCAGGCTGATGGACCTGGCCAAGGAAATGACCAAAGAGGCTCTGCCAATCAAATGCCTGGAAGCGGTGATCCTGGGAATGTATCCTTCCTCTGAGAGGCCTGAGAGGGGGCAGCCACCTCTCACACCTCCAGGGCCATCTTCCTCCTCTGGAAGGGGCTTCCCAGCTCCCTTTCCCAGAAGTCACAAACTTGGCCCCAAAGTGAAGGAGTTTGAGGGGGAATCAGTCTCTTGCACCTCAGTTGGTAACTTCCAAGGCTTACTGGGAAGTTTTTTTTTGAGCAGTGGACACAGTGACCCTGTTCTCCAAACCACAAATCGGGGCTCATCGTCTCATAAAGCTGCTGTGCTATTTCCAAGAACCAGAGAGTCTGGGAGAGGCAGGTTGGCTGCCCAACTGTTGGCATTTCCAGGACATGTGGATCTGTGGCGATGATGCACATCCCCTGATCTTTAAATGTAAAACTGCATATTTAAGAAAAATCAAGAGTTCTCAGTCTCTTCCCCACCCAAAGGGCAGAACTAGGACCTATAGCTAGATCACCAGAGTAGTTAGGTAGCATAGACAATGCCCCCACAGGGGGCACCCAGTAGCCCTAGTCACAGCAAAGTTAGGAGACTGGTCTATGGCCATTTCTCTGCCGTCAGTGGTTCCTGCTTGAATCCTACCTCGTTTATCACAGAAAATTTTAACCTCATATAAGCATGAATTAACATAGTGCAGCCCATGTGCCCATCACTCAGTTCTACCAATTCAAGGCCAGTCTTAACTCATCTCTGCCTACCCCACACTCTTCCCTGTACCTACCAAGGCTTTTAAACATCCATCTCCCACTCCCAGAGTAGGCACTGGGCTCTGTGCCCAGCAGGGTGAGGGGGCAGGTGCCTAATGGAACAGAGAGGAGTCGCTCGTTCAGACAGGTCAGGGAGAAGACGACAACGCTCACAGGCCAGGAGCGCAGCTTCTCTGAGGGGGATCAGATCCCCACCCCCATAGACATACCTGCCTTAAACTGTACACAGAGACTGCAGGGGTGACCCCTCAGTCCTCCTCCCTGAGGGCTAATCTCACTGTGGCAGTCCTTTGCTGCCCAAAGGGACCCACCAGCATTGCCTTGTCCAAAGGGTTCTCTGCTGGGACGAGTGTGAGGCCAGCCCAGGGACTCCAGGCCGCTGCCAGCGCCTCTTTCACCACCCCACGTTTGCTCCTCCTTCAGGACCACGCTCCAAAGTGGAGGTTCCCACCCCCTTGTAGGAGGGACACCCTGCTCCCCTCCCCGTGAGCATATAGAGAAGCTGGTCCAGACGGGATCACATGGTCCCAGAGGCCTTCCAGAGGTTACCTGCTGGCTTGTGGGCAGGAAGAAAATAGGAGTAGCTTCCCATCTGGACGGGACATCTCCCTGCTGTCCCCATAGAACTGCCACAGCTCCCTTCTGAACACGTGGTGCGCACTGTACTAAGTCTGTTCCCGGTCTCATCCTCACTGCACTCAGAGCCTGCACCTGGCTCACCTGTGTTCCCAGTCATTTGCTTGCAAGGAGTCAGGCCTGGTCAGCATCGCAGTGACTGTGCACAGACTGCAGGGTCAGGCCAGCCTGGACCTGAATCCTAGCTCTGCTGCATCCTCACTGTGGTCTCAAGCAAGCTCCTTAGCATCTCTGGGCCTCGGAGTCCGCTTCTGCAGAAGGGGACAATGGCGATCCCATCCCACAAGTTTGTTAATACAGGTAAACAACCAGGTGCACGTTGGACACTGGATGCAGTGTCTACCTGGTCTGTACGCCAAGCTTTCATCCTGTCCATCTCATTCTACCCATTTGTTCAAAAAAGAGTTTTGAGTGCCTGTCATGTGCCATGTCTGTGCTGGGCCCCAGAGATACAGTAGAAAAAAAAAAAAAAAATGACAGACAAGGTGGTCCAGCCAGGGAGACAAAAAGTAAGCAAGTAAACCAAGAAATAAGAAAAATAATCACAGATTGTGGTGATGTGCCACGGGGAACATAAGGACAGCAGATTTGCTTTCGGAAGGGAGGTCAGCGGTCCCAGCCAAGCCTGAGGCCTGAGAAGGAGCCAAGAGAGCCCAAGGAGCCGCCAGAGAGAAGAGCTGGTGTAGACGGTCCTCCGTGGAGGTTGGAGTGGACAGCTGACTGCCTCCCAGGCCACCAGCAACCTTGGTTTTATCGGAAGAGCAGCGGGCACGATATCTACGCGTAGAGGGGTGGGGGCGGTGAGAGAAAAGGAACAGGATTGTGCCTCTGTGATGCACACATGTGTATCAGCAGGTGTGAAAGGAAGGGCAGGGGGAGGAGGGAGGTGAGGGGGAGATAGACAGACAGACAGGCTGGTGGATGGAGGGCCTCACACTTACCTCACCCCATCACTCTGGAAGGCAGGGCAGTTGAGGGTGCCCTGCTCACTGTTACTTGGTGAGCTCTGCTCGCAGTCATGGCAGCAGCCGGTAATCATTGAGCGCCTACTGTATGCTGAGCCCAAGCCTGACGACAGGATGTGGATGAGCAAGACCCGTCATCCGCACTGGGGAGCCAGGGTCCACATTGGGGAGATGGGTCCGCACTGGGGAGCTGAGGTCTGGGGCGGCTCACACAGCCCCTCCTGGGTGGGGTGCGCGGGGTGGGGCCGCCCCACCCCTGCCTCTAGCCGTTTCCTTAGCTACGCTGGCCCGGCCAGTTACCTCACCAACAGCATGCCCACCCTGGAACGCTTCCCCATCAGCTTCAAGACCTACTTCTCAGGGAACTACTTCCGCCACATCGTGCTGGGGGTGAACTTCGGGGGTCGCTACGGGGCGCTGGGCATGAGCCGGCGCGAGGACCTGATGTACAAGCCGCCGGCCTTCCGCATGCTCAGCGAGCTCGTGCTAGACTACGAGGCCGCCTACGGCCGCTGCTGGCACGTGCTGAAGAAGGTGAAGCTGGGCCAGTGCGTGTCCCACGACCCACACAGCGTGGAGCAGATCGAGTGGAAGCACTCGGTCCTGGACGTGGAGAGGCTGGGCCGCGAGGACTTCCGCAAGGAGCTGGAGCGGCACGCCCGCGACATGCGGCTCAAGGTGCGTGTGCACCGCCCTGCCCAGGGCATCCAGGGGCTGGGCAGGGGTGGAGGGGAAGGATGGGGCTGGAAGGGCAGAGGTGAGAGGTGGAAGGGCAGGAGTGGGGATGAAAGGGGTGGGGGCAATGGAAATGTAGGGGTGGGTGAAAGGGCAGGGGTGGAGATGCCACTTCCTAGAGGCCCGCTCTTCCAGGGAAGTCCGCTCTTGCTCCCCCATCTTCCCAACCCACCATCCCCACCATCCCCATCCCACCTTCTAGGGAGAGGTGGAGCCAGGCGTTGGGGAGGTGAGGGTAGGAAGTTTCTGGGCTTCGCTCAAAGGTCATTGCTGATGAGACAGCCACCTCAGGTGGGAAGCCCCGGGGAGGCTCTGGTCAGGCCACAGGGGAGCTGGGTTTGGGCCTAGGCAGGGGTGCTGCCGTCCTGGTGGAGGGACTGCAAGTCAAGGCTGGTGGGGAGTCATGGCCTGTCTGGAGGGAGTGGTATCGTGTGGGCCAGGCGGCAGCTTCCATCACCCCTGTCATCCCGACTCTTGACCCCCAGCCCCAGGGGGGAAGTCAGAAAAGGGAAGCGGGTCAGACAGTGGGGAGACAAGGAGGGACGGCTCCTTGTCCCTCTTGGCCGGCCGCAGTGAGCAGGGGTCACGGTGGGTGCGGGGGTGCTGCTGGACCCAGAGTAGTGAGCTGAGCTGCTGAGATGCTTGCCCTCAGAGCCTTTCAAAGTGAGCCAAAGCTTGGCCTCTCTCTGGGTCCCCCTGGACTTGCGGGGGGTCTTCCGTGGGGCCTACCGGCCCCTCCCCTTTGCCCAGCCTCTGCAACTCTGCGCTCTGCCTCTCCTGGCAACCTGGGGCCACAGCCGTGACCCTGGCAGTTTCATGTCCACTGTGGCTCCCCAGGACCCCAGGAGGGCCGCAGCGGGCAGGGGAGGACACTGAGGTGCGGGGAGCCCAGAGACTTGCTTGCAGCCTGTGGGCGGCAGATGGGCCTGGGGCTCAGTCTCCGGATAGGGAACCTAGGCACATCACAGGTGCTTTCAGGAATCCTGGCCACCCTGCCCTGCCAGCCCCCAGACCAAGACCAGGGGTGACAGCGACGGTGCCTTCCTTCCCCAGGGCAGCAGCAGACTGCAGGTGACCCCGCTGCTTTCGGGAGCTGCCCTTCTCCACCCTCTAGCTGGTCCTCCCCGCTGTTCCTCCCCTGTGGAGGTCTGGGTGCCCAGCTGCCCGGGTATCACTGCACCTTCAGGGGAGCAGGCTGGATCTAGAGCTGGAGCCAGTATTACCTAACTTCAGGTGCTGTGTTTCCCAGTCCGCTCGGTGCTTCAGACCTCCCACGTTATTTGCACCACCACCCTCCAACACCCGTCCTGTACACCCCACGTTCTGAAAATTCAGCTCAAAGGGACTGTGTCGCCTAAGTTCACTTGCTCCCCCCACTTCCTTTATCCCCCTTCATCAGAGATGTCGCCACTAGCCTGAGCTTCTGATTAACTGGAGATAACCTGTGTCACCTGTGGGTCTTTGGGCTCCCAGCCCCAAGCTCAGACACAGGCTGCTTCTCCAGCTGGCCCCTCTGCCCGGCCTGGGTAAACGCTCCTTTTCTCAGGGGCCACCATGAACCCTCCCCAGTCACTGCTGCCCACGTCCATGCTGTTTCAGGGGCTGATGGGGTTTGGGCCGCCCTGCTGTGGAACCCCCGAGGCGCTGGCCACTTTAGCGCCCGGGAAATGGGTTCAGGAAGACCCCAAGAGAGCACAGAGCAGGGCTTGAGGCTTCCTGGGCCCTGTCCAGAGCAGTTTTGGGGCTGGTGGCTCCGTCAGGACAGGACAGGATCTGGGGCAGTCCTGGAGTGAGTCTGTGTGCCTTCCTCCCCACCCAGATCGGCAAAGGGACCGGCCCTCCGTCTCCCACCAAGGACCGGAAGAAGGATGTGTCCTCCCCACAGCGGGGCCAGTCCAGCCCCCACCGCAGGAACAGCCGCAGTGAAAGGCGGTGAGCCCTGGGTTTCCCCTTGCCTGGCAGGGGGGATAGGGAGGGGGTAGGTGCACAAAAAGTCTTCATCCTTTCTGCTCATTTTCCCCTCCCTCTGATCTCCCCCCAAGCTCATCACATTCCCACCCTTCTCTTTGTCTTCCCCACTGGAGGGAACCTGGGAGGATGGGTTTGTTCGTATGTTGATACAGCCATGATGAAGTCCTGTTTCTCCAGGGAGAGGACATCCCTGGCCCACCGGTTACCCTGTGTGGGCACCCTGGTGCCCAGCAGAAGGCCCCCGGGGGAAGGTCCGAGGCCACCACCGCAGAGCTGCAGAATGGGCTCTGGGGGAGGGAGGGTAGAAGGCGGGGGCCCAGCCAACAGTGAGCTCTTCCAGGAATATTGCCGGAAAAGGCTTAACCTCAGGTGGCAGCCGGTGGATGGCTTTGAGCGTAACCTTTGTCTCTGCGAGAGTCAGTGGGTTTTGCCTGTAACCAGATGGCAAAAGCATTCTGATAAAACGCCCGGCAGCCTCATCAGATCTGTCTCCTCCATGTCAGTCTGGTTCTTGCTTTAAAGGTCATTCTGGAGACCCCTCCAGGTTATATGGGCTTCCCTCGTGGCTTAGATGGTAAAGCATCTGCCTGCAGTGCAGGAGACCTGGGTTTAATCCCTGGGTCAGGAAGATCCCCTGGAGAAGGAGATGGCAACCCACTCCAGTAATCATGCCTGGAACATCCCATGCATGGAGGAGCCTGGCAGACTACAGTCCATGGGGTCGCAAAGAGTCGGACACGACTGAGTGACTTTACTTTTTCACTTTTCTGGAGACACCTCTGGTGTAAAGGGCACCTCGCTGCCTCCCATAGCCAGCCTCCTTCACTTTGACCTGGGAGGCTCTCAGAGAGAACACAGGACCCCTCACAGGGATTCACTGTTACTTCATTACTTAACATGCAGCCAGAGTGAAGAGCAGTAGCCCATGAGTGTGGGACCCACTCAGGCCTGCAAGGGGGGTCGGGGTTTTCCAGAAACGCACTTCCATGAGGACCCTTACTGCTGCATTTGGGACACCTTGGAGAATGGAGAGGCGGGAGCCAGCAGTGGGGGGGGGACAGCCACCCCTGGATCCCTCCTCTCTCACCTCCCGGAGGGGCCGCTCACCCCTTCCCCCTCCTCTGTTCTCTCCTCCCTGCAGGCCTTCCGGTGAGAAGAAGCCTTCAGAGCCCAAAGCCATGCCAGACCTCAATGGGTACCAGATCCGGGTATGAGGCGGGTGGCAGCACCCCCTGCCTCACCCACTTCGGGGGGGACCAGCATCCTCCAGCCAGACCAGCCTCGCTCCTGGGGAACGCGGGGCTGATGACGGGTTGAGTGTGTTGCAGCTCAGCCTCCCAAGCTGCTGTCCCTCCGCTGGGCCAGGCCCTCTTAACTGTGGACCAGGAGGCAGTGAAGAGTTGAATTCTGAGGTTTTAACTTGATAACCTGAAATTTAAAGTATTGGGAAAAAGAAAAACTTAAAAACTAGTGGATCTGGCCAGTGACCGGAAGGCCAATGCTTAGAAGATTCTAAGTGTCGCGGGGCCGGGTGAGGAGGGATTGCTGGCTCTGGCTGGTACCCTTGCCCGTGTGTCTGGGGTTTGGGTCCATCCTCCCCATGGGAAACCTCCCAGCTCTGCTTGGGCCGTGGTGGGATGCAGGAGCGATGTTTCTCCAGTCCTCTCTGCCCTGGCAGCGTTGTGACCCAGGGAAAGGAAAGCAGGGTAGGAAGCGCCCCGAGAAAGGTCTGCGTGGGCCATATCAGGAGCTTAGCACAGGCCCCGTGTGCCACAAGAGCCAGAGTGTGTGGCCCAGGAGGGCCCCCATTCCCTTGGAGCCCCACGGACAGCGCTGTGTGGGCGGGCACTGCCCAGTGCTGGGATGCGCTGGACGAGAGCCCGGGAGAGAGCCGCTGGGGAAAGAGTTCCCAGACCCCTCTCTGGTCCCCTTGCTCAGCCCAGCTCTGCCTGTTGCTGCAGCTGGGGCCTCCCTGCAGAGGGGCCAGGCTTGGCCCGGGGCCCAGAGAGGCATTGGGCTCAGCGTGACTGAGGGGAACCAACAGACCTGGTGGGTCCAGGAACCATGGCGGAGGATGAGGTGGGACCCTCAGGCCTGGGTCGGGAGGCCCCCAGGGACTGCTTCCCCTTCCTGTTACCTCAGCCCCTGCTGGGGAAATGAAGACCAGGCCACGGAGGCTTATATCCCAGCCCACGGAGGCTTATATCCCAGCCCCTGCTCTCCTATTCAGCAGCCTGGCTTAGGTGTGGAAGGCCCAGCATGATAGGGCCTGGGGTATGAGGCAGCTCGTTAGGGAAGGGCCTGAGCTGCTGGAGTCTGCACCGCCTGCCTGGCGGGCAAGGGAGAGGTTGTGGAGAGAGGTTGGTGGAACCGGAGAAATGTTCTGGAGGCTCAAGCAACAGAAGAGGTGGAAGGCAAACGGTGCAGGGTGGCCACTGGGGAGAAGCAGAGCCCAAGAACTGGGGAGTGTAAGTGAGAAAAGAAGGTGAGAGAGAGTTTAGAACCAGGCGGCCTTGGGGAGTAGTGAGTTCCCCATTGCTGGAGGTATTCAAGCAAAGATTAGATGGTTGCTTGTCATCTAGAAAGCTATAGATCGGACTTAGGTTACGGAAGGATAACTGAAGGAGATGACCGTTTAAGGTTTCTTAATACTGAGAGGCAACTGTCAGTAAGGTTACCTAGGGACTGAGGGCCTAAAAGAGGAAAGAGCACAGAGCCCAGAGTTGTGAACTCAGATCCCCCCAGGGCCGAGCAGCTGATTGAAAGGAGGGCTGCAGGGCTGGGTGGGGACTGTGGCCAACGAAGGAAGGTGCAGCCTCAGCCACTGCTGGTCTGAGGGTCTAAAGGCAGGCCCTGCGTACCAGATGGCCAGATGTTTTTTCATTGCAGAATTCTGAATTTTTACGTGAAACATGCAGATTTTTAAATGTTGGCAATCAACTCAGAAAATTTAAAAGCCCAACACGAAAAAGAATGACAGTGTAATCTTAAGAGAGTAGCAAGGACTTGGGCTGGGGAGATGGATGCACTGAGATGGCGTGGAGGTGGAAGGAATGGAAGTTCTCGGCGTCCCAGAGCAGGCTGGACCAGGGCAGTGTCCTCGCCATGGCGGCTGCTCCCAGATGGGCAGCTGCCTCCTTCCCACTCGACTCTCCCTGCAGACCAGAGACACTCAGCCATGTCCGACTCTTTGCGACCCCATGGACTGTAGCCTACCAGGCTCCTCTGTCCGTGGGATTTTCCAGGCAAGAATACTGGAGTGGGAGGCCATTATCCTTCTCTAGGAGATCTTCCCAACCCAGGGATCGAACCCGGGTCTCCCGCATTGCGGGCAGACACTTTACCGTCTGAGCCACCAGGGGAGGGGGGGGGGTGGAGTGGAATAGAAACAGTGCCGTTCTCAGTCTGCTGGGGAGATGGATGAGGCCTGAGGAGCCGAGAGAGGGAGAGATGGAGACAGGATGCGTCTGCTGACGCGGCCGCCTGCCAGGGAAGGCACCGGGCTGGCAGCTCTTCAGACCAGCAGCTCTTGGCCCAGAGTCAAGCCAGGCAGAGAAGCCGGCTGCTCACTCCCTGGGTTCCTCCTGGCTCCGTGGGCCCTTGGCGAGGTGCCTAAGCTGCCTGCTGGGCCACATCACGGCCAGAGCAGTCCGGGGGCCACTGTGAGCCCCAACTCAGCCTCCCGTCCCATCCTAGTTTTCTGGAGGTGGGGGTGGTGTTCACACCTTCACCTGGGGCAGAGACGGATCCAGTTGGGAGGCATGAGGCTGAACACGGGGCATTTTGTGGGTGTGGAGGCAGGTGCCTTGTGATGTCCCCCCGGCAGGTGGACCACAGGGCTTGAGGGTGAGATATGACGGGGGGCGCTGGGGTCAGGGAGACGTGGGGGAGAGCTGCCCCTGGCACGGGAACCCAGCGGGGTGCTCTGGCCCCTCAGCTCCCTCCTGAGCCCCTTGGGGAGAGGAAGCAGAATGCAGCCCCAGAACGCAGCTGCTATCTGCCAGGGGAGGAGCCGACACCCCCACCGAGAAGCCCCTAATACTCCCTCCCCCTTTCCTCGCTGAGACCTCGGGCCTGTGGACACCCACGGGATACAGCGGTGCTTTTTTAATTTCTTTTATAACACATTTCACATATATGTAGCAAGCCCTCCTCCCCTCCTGGGCGTGTTTACACAGGCTCTGCTCCGCGCGCGGGGCCGGCCTGGCTGCAGAGTTTCTGGGGAGGCAGGGGGCAGGGACTTGGGGCCTTAGTCACCATTGTCAGCATCACCTCATCTCACTTCCTGTGAGGGACCAGGCCCGGCTCCTCCGGACTCAGGGCTGCCTCCCAGCACTGTGTAGGCTCCTCTGTCCCTGGGGCTCGGGGCTCCTGGCTGGGGAGGGGTCAGGGGAGGTCAGAGAAAGCTGTGTGATGGAAGGTGGGCCAGCATGGCGGGATAGTGACTGCTCCCCAAGGCCGGGCTGCCTGTGCTCTGTGCGGGCTGCCGGGTCAGAACACTGGGAACCTGTCCCACCCGCTCACACCTGCCGCTCCTCTCCTTCCCGTGGCCTCAGCAGAGTCGCCATCTCCTGGCCCCTCTCAGCAGCCACCCCATCCTTCCTGAGCGTGGCCAGGTATGGAGAACTGCACCTCCCACCCCTAGGTGCCAAAATGAAGCCTAGGGCCAGGGTTCTGAGCTGCGGGGACAGCCCGAGTTTGGCCACGTCTGGTTTCTGGCCCTGGGTCATCTCACACCATCCTCCTGCCGCTTCCAACTTGGACTTGACTTCTGGCCCAGGGACCGGGTCTCCGGACCAGGAGTGTGCCCAGAGGCCTGTGTGCCTGGGTCCCTGCCTGGGTGGTTTTCAGCTTAGCTTTGTTGGCTTCCCCCAGGCCCACCCTCTGGCCTCGCAGTACAAGGAAAGTGTGAGCTGGGGGCCTAGCCTATGGACTGTGTCCTGAGTGCCAGAGCCCCGCTGTGTTGAACTCCCCACCTCCCTCGTCCCACTGAGAAACCAGGGAAGGGCAGGGAGGTGCTCTGAAAGAGGGGTGCATGGGGTGGGCGGGGGGTCTGACCCCGACCAGGCAGGGCTGGCGGGGTGCTAGCTGCAAGTCTGTCAGTATTGACCACCCCCCTCACCCCATCTTGGTGTTCCAGAGTCCCAAGTTTCCCTTTTTCTTCCAAGTCCGATGAGAGGAGAGATCGGGTGTGCTTGGTCTGGGGCTTGGTGATGGTGTTGGCTGCCGTGTTGTACTGGACTTTGTTGTTCTTCTCATATCAGTATTGCCCCCCTCCCCCTTTCCCTTTTACACTTCGTCTCATTCCTGTTCTCACTTTTTCCTTGAAAAGAATAAAGTCTCCCTCCAGCTCGGCTGTGTGGGCTGGGCAGAGACCACAGCCTGTAAGCCTTGTCTTCTTCCCTCCGGGAGCTGGGGCTGCAGCCGCCCCACCCGCCAGTGTCAGCTGCGGCAGCTCCGGGGGGCGGGGGGGGGGTAGGGGGTTGGGAGGGGAACCTGACCAGAGGTTGAGGGGAGCCCCAAACCAGTCATCAGGACACCTCGCAGCCCCGGCAGTCATGATGAAACTTCTGGGGTCCCAGACGGTCACACCCCTCAGCCTGCTGAAGCCACTCAGCCCTTTTTAGTCCTCATTTGGAAGATCTTTCCTGCTGGCTGTAAAAGAAGCCCTTTCTCCTTCACACAGCCAGTTCAGCCCCTGGGAGGCCCCCAGGCGCATTCCAGAGCGCGGCTCTTCCTCTCCTAGTCCCCAGCCGTCCACCAGGAAGGAAAGAGGAGGAAGGCTGGGTGTTCTCCTGGGAGAGGAGGCTATTTCAGAAAACCATAGCAACAGGGATCTCAAGTCCCTTCTCTTCACGGTCGCCAGTGCAGAACTGATGGTGGTTAAAGACACAACTTTGGAAAATACCCCTGGTTCTACCTGTTACCCCCTTCTTCCTCTGCTTTGTCCGTCCAGCCCTGGACCTCTTCCCATGCTTTAAGGCAAGTCCAAACAATTGCAACCTGACCTGCACAGAGGCACCTTTTCACCTGTAACCCTTGCTCCCTACTTCTCTGCTCTCCTTTCGTTCAGCTTAAGAGGAAACCCTAGACTTAGGAGGAGGGAGCGTATTTCCTACTACTTATTCCAGCCAATCCCCAAAAAACCCTGAGACGTGTCGTCTAGCACAGCAGGAGTCCCTCACTTTCCGGAGCGTTGTGGTGAGGCGTGGCCACTGGGAAGAGGAGAGGTGGTCTGCTGGAATCCTTGGTCTTGGACTGTACACCATTAAAAAGAGGCAGTTAAGCTATTTACAGGATCATTTAAATCCAGCTTAAACGATACCAAAAAAAAGAGCCTGATTCAATAAAGGTAGCCAGGGTTTGTGACTAACTTGGCTTATACCCCCTTCACACAAAAGGCAGTGTGTGAAATGTACATATTGGAGTCCGGCTGGTAAAGGGCCTTGTGGGTGGGTTTCAGTGACATGGGCTCACACACCGCGGGCCCCTGGACTGCTCTCGTACGAACGGGGGCTGGCTTAAGTGCTGGACTGAGTCGGTCGTGAGTCAGCCAGGCTCACCGTGGGTACCGCGCAGCCTCTTTCTTAGAAATGAGGCAGAGCTGAGTGCCGTCGCGGACTCCGGAGAGGACCAGAAGCCAGCTTACTGGGCGGATGGCCGCATTTCCTGCAGCTCCCTTTGCTTCAAGCTTGCAGCACGTGCCTGCCTAATTCAGGCACGTGACTATCGTGGGTTGGACCTCTGAATGCGGGTGGCGCTTCTCAGAGCCCTGCACCGCCATCTGCCAAGATCTGACACAGATCCTGACCGTGACTGTGGGGGGCAGTGGTGACAGGGTGCTGGTCATACCAAGGGCCAAGTCGACCGGCCCACGTGTGGGCTGCCTGGCAACCCTTACAGTGTTTGCAAGGGGGTGAGGAGCCCGCTGCGGCCTGGCAGGTGGTGGAGACGCGCCACCTCAGGTGGCCCGAGGGACCGCACCCTGAGCAGCGCATGTGGGAATGTACGGTCCTTCCAGTCCCCGGCCAGAAAGGACTTGGTCGTGGGAAAGACAAGACCTGGAAGAATGTTAAGTGTGGAGATTCCATGCCAGCTGTGTGAGGACTCCGGCCTTATGGGCATGGTACCTGATGAGGGGTGGGGCATAAGGCAGTTTTCCCTTTGACGTACCTTAAGGTCGTAGCCTCCTAACCCGGAGAGATCACCCAACCAGGCCCGTTTGCTGGGGGGAGAGATGATGGGAGAGGTGCGGGGGCAGAATGTGGAAGTGTAGGACCTCGGGGCAACTCTCTCCCTAAACAAGGGAGGGGTGGGGGGGTACTAGAGGAGGTAGGCCCCCACCCGCTCCCCCCCCAGGAGAAGGGAACCCACGCTTTGCCTTAAGTAACCAATCAAGAAACAACCCTCTGGTGAGTAGCTACACCTGGGGGGGAATGAGAGAAGAGACAAACCAGCCGCGGACTGGTTGGTCGCCTCCCTTCTCCGAGGCCCAGCCCCATGTCTGCTTTACGAGACCACCTGGCTCTCCTACTCCCAGAAAAGGCCGTGTTCTGAGGAGCTGGGTGGCAAGAAATCAAGCAAAGCAGAGTCTCAGTCTCTTTCTTTGCGATCTCTGCTTCCTCAGATGTAAAGGTAAGCCATGCGCACCTGAACTGCCACCTTGTAATGCCGTCTACTGATCGTGGAAAGGGAAGCTCCCTGAAAGCCATGAATCAACGCGCCATGCAGATGCTGCGTAAATTCAGGTCACCACGGGGAAGCCCTTCAGGCCGGGAAAGGAGTCTCTGGGGACACACCTCAGAGCTTAGGAGCTATAAAATAATTCTGAGCCCATGAACTGTCCAGACTGCCTAGGGGAAACTGGCCATCCTTAATTCCCAATTGTTACTGATAATTACCAATTATGTAATTACCAATAATACTCTGGGATTCCTAGTATCCCTTCAAACAATGTAATTTCAGATCTGAAAATTCCTGATGAGTAGAAAAGAATACTACTTTAATTTCCATTTCACCAAGATGTGTGAAACACAGGGAGGGGTTAACTTACCCACAGACGCCAAGAGCCAGGCCAAGACAACAGGCTCCTAATCCCTGGCTAAGTGCTCTTTCTGCTGAATCGTAACCCAGGTGGTTCCATTGCTGCCTGGGGAGATTTAAGTCACATGGATTCTCAGGCACTGATTCAAAGCTGTGGAGTCTGGGCTTCCGTTCAGGTGAGGTGTTAAACCCCACCTGGCCTCAGGGCTTCTCCCCACAGGCACAAGGGCTGCGTGAGGAGGCCGAGGAGGCCGGGGGAAGACAGAAGCCCCAGCGGAGTGAGGCCCGGGAAAGGAGGGACAGCTTTCCAGCAACAGATGGCCCGCAGCTCAGGCCTAGCTCCAGAATACGGAAGAGATGATGATCAGAAATAGAAACGCCGCGAGAAGCATCGGCCATGCGCATCACGCCTCATGCAGCTGCCACAGCTTTGACCAGGGAAAACGCTTCTCTAGTCCTGCTTTTTGCCACAGACCCCCTCTGCTCGGACTAGGGGGAGGGATAGGGGCAGCAGAAGGAATGAGAGCAGCTGAATGGACCACTCTCCTAGAGAGTGAAGGTCGGGGCAGGCGGCTGCACGCGGGCCAGGCCCTGTTCTTCCCACGGGCCTCAGAGCAGTGGGCATCTGCTCAGTTACCTAAGGGAGATGCCAACGCTTTCTCTGGTCTAGATCTAGGGTTAAAAGGCTCCACCCCAGGTCAGTCTCTTGCTCTCTGCCCACCTCTCATTCTCCAGGCCTTCCCTTCCCCCATGCCCTTCGGGACCCTAATAAAATAACCAATAGTTGGGGGGAAAAGATAAACCTTTATTTGGAAAAGAGAATTCAAATGACCATTTAAACCCCCCTTTCATTTCCAAAACAGAAACAAGAAAACAAGGAAAAGATTATCTATCACGCTCCTGCCCTCTGCCATCGTTAGCCATTTTTAAACTACACTGCCTGGCAGAAGAGAAAAGTGGATGGGCCCTAGTTCTAGGAACCAAGGAGACCACCTCAGGAGATGTCCAGGAAGAGACAAACAGAATGGATGGTGGGGTGTGGACAGATGGGCCTGGGGCTCAGACAGGCACATGCCCAGTACCAAGGAAACAATGTTTAAAAATATACATGCAGAGATAAAGTCCCCAGAACGGAGGCATGGAAAGCTTATAACCATGAATGCAGCAGCAGAATCCAAGCTGGGTCTTTGGCGCTCAGAAAAAAAGGAGAAAATGTGAACCGCAGCTAACTGTCCCTGGCTTTAGCCTCTCTCAGCTATATCCTCCAGTCCCACTCTGGGGGCCCCATCTGCAGAGCCGACAGCAGCTACTCAGAGTGACGGGAAGTGTGAGGAGGAGCCGGCCAGGAACACCCCACGCCATGCCCAGCAATGAAAGATTAAGGCCTGCAGGTGACTCACGTGGGCGAGGGAGCCCCCTGAATGGGCCAGAGAACCCGCTGCGCCAGGAGAGGGGAAGCAGAGACAACGAGCAGTGGAGGCCAGGCCGGCTGAAGCAAACCCTCAAGCACCACCACGTCCGGGGCTTCACTTGTGCCCAAGGCCACCTTTCTACTGAGAAGGTTTGGCCTGAGCTCAATCTTGGGCTTTTCTAGGGGCAAAAAAAGGGAAGGGAATGCGGGAGGCAGCAAAAAGTAAAACGCAGTTGGAGGAGAGGAACAGAGAGCTGCAGCTGAGGTGTGTGAGGAAAGGGGGCAAGCCCCTGAGGTCTCTAGTCCGCTGCCTGCTCTCCTGCCCCGGACTCCCACCCTCGCCCCGGTCCCCCAGGAAGACCAGAGTTTCCTGACAGTTCTTTCTCCTCAGCCTTGAAGAGCTCTGAACCTCGAGCCACTATCTCTGCCCACTGACCCCCCACCCACCGCAGGGCAGCCTGGGGAAAGGGACAGGCCCTGGGGGAAACACGCAGGCCGGCGGGGTGCGCTGGGCAGGAGGCTCAGAGGCTGCAAAGACCAGAAGTGCACCCGGGTCTGCGGGGCCCACTTGTTCCAGAGCCCCGAAGGAGAGGACCCCCTGGTTGGCCGGATGAATGCCTAATGAAACACAGAGGATAAAGGGGGAGCAGGGCCCATGACCCACGGTCTCAGCATGGAAAGCGGGCTGCTCAGAGACAGGCGTGACCGTGCAGAGCAGCACATCTCAACATGTGTGTGTCTGCAGGAGGGATGGGCCCACGGGTCTCAGGCAGGGAGAAGGTCGGGTCAGAAAGCACCATCAACAAATGGCCTGAAAACAAATAACCAAGGAGATCAGTAGCTCCCGCAACCCTGGTAATTAAACATCAGTGGGGAGCGCTGGATACATGGAAGGAAGGGGGGACCCCCGCTTGAGCCTCTCCCGGGGCCACCCCCTCATGTGGCAGGGTTGGGAAGAGGCTGGGGCGGGGCAAGGACCACAGGCAGAGTGTGCGGACAGGCCTGGAGTAAATCTAACCATGGGGGAGAAGGGAACGAGGAGGGGGCGGGGAGGGGTCGTTAAGTTTCTTGGATCTAAGTTTCCAGAAGCATGGGCTATTTCCAGTCTCTGATCCGGGGAGCTCTTCTGGAAGAGAAGCAGCGCTCTTCTCCTGGGAGCCCATCACGGGGTGGTGACCCCCATCCCGAGCCTGGCCAGTAGGCAGAGGTGGTCTGAAGAGCAGAAGGGGTTGGGTAAGCCGTTGGCCGCCCAGAGGGCCTCTTCGGAGAGGAGCGAGAGCCGGCCCAGGAGCTTGAGAGTTCCGTCCCGATGCCGCCTGCGATCTGGAGCACAGAGCGGAGGCCGGTGGGCGACGCAGGCCCTGCCACGCAGCCCGGGGCGGGAGGGGGCCTGCGGGAGCCTCACCTTCAAGATGCTGCACCTTCTCGGCCGCCCACCCTCCCCCTGACCTCCTGCGGTCTCTCGGACGCTCCGTGATATGTCAGTGAATGGAGTGAGTGGGTTCGGGGGCTGTGGCAAACTAGAGAATGCACCTCCAAGCCCAGTATTACAAGATCTTCCGATTTTCTGAGAGAAGTCGGAAACCCAGAGTTTCTATGTAAAATCTGATTTTTAAACATAAAATCCGAACACTGTAAAAGACATGCTTTAGACAAAACAGGGGTGGGGCTGACAGACTGCCACGCTGTGACTATAGTGAGGGGCAAGAAGACAAGAAACTGGGTTTCTATTTCTAACCTCACCAAGACCCTCACTAGCCAGCTGCCACTGAACAAATCCAATCACTTCCGGGTGGTCTATTTTCATCTTGAGAAAGGAGGGATGGCTTGTTCTGCTACAAACATAAAAAGAGAAGCCGGGCAAAGGGCCTAAGGGAAGTATGATGAGGATGACCAGCGTCAGGCAGGTATGAGATCTGCTCCTTTGCCAGGCAGGTCCCAGCAGCCCAAGTCATGTGATCAGATGCCTGACCTACCATCAGCTCCCAGAGACTCTTGGGGGTGGCGTCTGGGATTTCAGGATCCACCAGGCTTACCAGTTCTGTTCCCATCCTCGCAGGACTCGGCTGAGAAGAAGATGTAATCTACTGTCGTTCCCAGACCCAGGGGCATTGTGGTGACCTCTGGGCGGCCATGCTGGGGCAGGAAATGAGTATACACCGAGGTCAGGTGTAGGCAGTGCTGGATGGTGCCCACAGGGTGCCTACAGGGGTGGAGGGGGAGACACCAGTCAACAGACACCACTGAACTTCTCCCAAGGCCACTTCTCTGTGGATTTTATAAAGCTTTTTAATGGATAAGCCCAAATAATTCAAGCTCAGCAAGTTCTTTCCCATGCTAATCAGAGATGGAGAGTCTTAGCTAAAATCAGCCTAGAAACAGACATATTTGTACTCAGCCCTGTTGACATTCCTTACCCACCACCCTCCTCTTGCTACCTCGTGAAGTATATACCTCATGTACCCTTGCCTGTGGGTCAGCAGGCTCTGCTGTGAGGCCTTACTCCCTAAGGAAACGTGCACAGGGTTTTCATCTTTAAGAAACTGGGTGGGTCGCCTCTGGCCTCTGCACACCTGTATGTTCCTCCATAACCTTATCATGTATTAGGGGGAAGAGAAAGCTCAGCAAAGCGTTCCCCCAAATCAGGTCCAGGAAAGCCAAAAGGAGCCTCTCTAATACATCTCAATGGAGCTGGGATGCAAGCAGAGAGAACTGGAAGAAAATTACCTGGGGATGTCCGGCTCAGATGTGTCTTCCTCAATGACGGACTCGGCCCAGCCAGCAGGTCGCTCTGTAGAAGACCGGAGAGAGGAGTTTTATCACTCACAGACAGGGAAGGAGGATCAGAACCTTGCACCCTGAAACAGCAGTCAGATCCTTGACTGGATCGTTCCAGAAGGGAAAAAGGAAAGAGAAAACGTGAAGGGAGGAAGCAAACAATGGACCAGAGTCAGGAACCTCAGGGAGCAGACAGACAGAGGCCTCTAACACAGACATCTCTGCCCTGGTTCAGCAGCTTTTTTAAAAAATTACACTTTAAGTTTTAGGATAGGTAATAATAGTCACATGGTTACAAAAACCAAAATGTAGAGAAAAACCTCAGTGAAAAGTCTCCCTCCTACTAGGGGGCCCTCGCCACCCAGGGGCAACCAACTTTATCAAATCCCTGGTGTACTCCTCTAGAATCTTTTATCCCACACAATCCATTGTGTATTTACACAAATCTATATATGTATGCTGGAGAAGGAAATGGCAATCCACTCCAGTGTTTTTGCCTGGAGAATCCCAGGGACGGCGGAGCCTGGTGGGCTGCCATCTATGGGGTCGCATAGAGTCGGACACGACTGAAGCGACTTAGCAGCAGCAGCAGCAGCATATATGTATGCATATACATATGTATGCACACCCTTACACACATATATGCATCCATACTTACACACACCTATATATATACACACACATACTCAAAAAAGACAGAATATCAGGAGAGAAAGAGGGAATATTATTACAGGTCCTACTGGGCATGCTGCAGTTCCTGGGGTCATATAGAGTCGGACATGACTTAGCGAGTAAACAACAACTGACACTAGTAAGTGTTATGGACTGCATATTTCTGTCTCTTCAAAATATGTTGAAATCCTAACCCTCAATGGGATAACATTTAGGAAGTGGGGCCTTCAGGAGGTAATCTGGCATTGAGGGTGAAGCCTTCATGAATAGGATTGATGCCCTTTTAAAAGGGATCCCAGAGAGCTGTCTCATCCTCTTTCTGCCGTGTGTGGATGCAACAAGTTGGCAGTTAGCAAGCAGAGGAAAGTCCTCACCAGAACCAGACCATGCTGGCACCTGGACCTTGAACTTCCAGTCTCCTGAACAGTGAAAATAAAGTTCTGTTGTTCATAACCACTCATCTACAGTATTTTGTTATAACAACCCAAACTAAGAAAATAGAATAACAAGGATCAACAAAATTGACAAACACTTAAGACAGACCAACCAAGAAAAAAAGAGAAGACTTAAATTACTAAAACCAGGATTAAAAGAGAGGGCCATCACTACCAACCTTATAGAAATTAAAAAATTATAAGGATACAGTTAAAAAACTGTATACCAACAATCTAGATGACTTAGGTAAAATGGAAAAATTCCTAAAAAGACAAAAACTACATAAACTCATTCAAGAAAAAGAAGAAAATCTGAATTAGCAATTGTTATATACTATGACCAAGTATCATATATAGTATATAACTATAAGTATCAACCTTACTTATCCTAGAAAGTAAGGTTGGTTTAACATCTGAAAATTATTAATAGAACATTGAAAAACAAAAACCATGATCATCTGAATAAACAGAAAAAACCTCCAACAAAATTCAACCCTCCTTTATGACCAAAAAAGCAAAGCAAAACTCACAATGCTAAAAAAAAAAAAAAAAGAAAAACAGGAATAGGGCTTCCCTGGTGGCTCAGTAGTAAAGAATGCGCCTGCCAATGCTGGAGACATGGGTTCAATCCCTGGTCGGGGAGCAACTAAGCCCATGTGTCACAACTATTGGTAGTCTGATATATGGCCAAGTCTCAGGAATTTCCTGTGGATATTTTAAAAATTGTCTTTGCTCTGCCTTTAAAGTTCAGAGTTTAATATGTATCAATGAGATTTACCATAAAACATGTTACTTCAGTTCAGTTCAGTTGCTCAGTCATATTTGACTCTTTGTGACTCCATGGACTGTAGCATGCCAGGCTTCCCTGTCTAACATGGACTCCCAGAGTTTGCTCAAACTCATGTCCATTGAGTCGGTGATGCCATCCAACCATCTCATCGTCTGCTGTCCCCTTCTCCTCCCACCTTCAATCTTCAAAACCAGCATCAGGGTCTTTTCCAAAGAGTTGGTTCTTCACATCACGTGGCCAAAGTACTGGATTCAGTTTCAGCATCAGTCCTTCCAATGAATATTCAGGACTGATTTTCTTTAGGATGGACTGGTTGGATCTCCTTGCAATACAAGGGACTCTCAAGAGTCTCCAACACCACAGTTCAAAAGCATCAATTCTTTGGCACTCAGCTTTCATTATAGTCCAACTCTCACATTCATATATGGCTACTGGAAAAACCATAGCTTTGACTAGATGGACCTTTGTCGGCAAAGTAATGTCTCTGCTTTTTAGTATGCTGTCTAGGTTGGCCATAGCTTTTCTTCCAAGAGCAAGCGTCTTTTAATTTCATGGCTGCAGTCACCATCTGCAGTGATTTTGGAGCCCAAGAAAATAAAGTCTCTCACTGTTTCCATTGTTTCCCCATCTATTTTTCATGAAGTGATGGGACCAGATGCCATGATCTTAGTTTCCTGAATGCTGAGTTTTAAGCCAACTTTTTCACTCTCCTCTTTCACTTTCAAGAGGCTCTTTAGTTCTTCTTAGCTTTCTGCCATAAAGCTGCTGTCATATGCATATCTGAGGTTACTGATATTTCTCCCAGCAATCTTGATTCCAGCTTGTGCTTCATCCAGCCTGGCATTTCACATGATGTACTCTGCATATAAGTTAAATAAGCAGGGTGACAATACACAGCCTTGATGTACTCCTTTCCTAATTTGGAACCAGTCTGTTTTTCCATGTCCAGTTCTAACTGTTGCTTCTTGACCTGCATACATATTTCTCAGGAGGCAGGTCAGGTGGTCTGGTATTCCTTTCTCTTGAAGAATTTTCCACAGTTTATTGTGATCCACATAGTCAAAGGCTTTGGCATAGTCTATAAAGCAGAAGTAAATGTTTTCCTGGAACTCTTGCTTTTGTGATGATCCAACAGAGTAATTTGATCTCTGCCTTTTCTAAATCCAGCTTGAACATCTGGAAGTTCACAGTTCACATACTGTTGAAGCCTGGCTTAGAGAATTTTGAGCATTACTTTGCTAGCAAGTGAAGTAAGTGCAATTGTGCAGTAGTTTGAACATTCTTTGGCATTGCCTTTCTTTGGGATTGGAATGAAAACTGACCTTTTCCAGTCCTGTGGCCACTGCTGAGTTTTCCAAATTTGCTGGCATATTGAGAGCAGCACTTTCACAGCATCATCTTTTAGGATTTGAAATAGCTCAACTGGAATTCCATCACCTCCACTAGCTTTGCTCATAGTGATGCTTAAGGCCCACTTGACTTCGCATTCCAGGATGTCTGATTCTAAGTGAGTGATCACACCATCGTGGTTATCTGGGTCATGAAGATCTTTTTTGTATAGCTCTTCTGTGTATTCTTGCCACCTCTTCTTAATATCTTCTGCACTCATTTCACATGCTAGCAAGGTAATGCTCAAAATCCTTCAAGTTAGGCTTCAACAGTACATGAACCAAGAACTTCCAGATGTACAAGCTTGATTTAGAAAAGGCAGAGGAACCAGAGATCAAATTGCCAACATCTGTTGGATCACAGAAAATGCTAGAGAATTTCAGAAAAACATCTACTTCTGTTTCATTGACTACAGGAAAACCTCTGACTGTGTGGATCACAACGAACTGTGGAAAATTCTTAAACAGATGGGAATACCAGACTACCTTACTTGTCTCCTGAGAAACCTGTATGTGGGTCAAAAAGCAACAGTTAGAACCAGACATGGAACAATGGACTAGTTCAAAATTGGGAAAGGAGTACAACAAGGCTGTATACTGTTCACCCTGCTTATTTAACTTCTATGCAGAGTACATTATGTGAAATGCCAGGCTGGATGAATCACAAGCTAGAATTAAGATTGCCAGGAGAAATATCAATAACCTCAGATATGCAGATGATACCACTCTAATGGCAGAAAGTAAAGAGAAACTAAAGAGCCTTTTGATGAGGGTGAAGGAAGAGAGTGAAAAAACTGATTTAAAACTCAACATTCAAAAAACTAAAATCATGGTAAGTGATTCATGACAAATAGAAGAGGAAAAAATGGAAGCAGTGACAGATTTTATTTTCTTAGGCTCCAAAATCACTGTGGACATTAAGTGCAGTCATGAGATTTAAAAGACACTTGCTCTTTGGAAAGAAAGCTATGACAAACCTAGACACTGTATTAAAAAGCAGAGACATCACTTTACTGACAAAGGTCCCTATAGTCAAGGCTATAGTTTTTCCAGTAGTCATGTATGGATGTGAAGTTGGACCATAAAGAAGGCTGAGCACTAAAGAATTGATGATTTTGAATTGTGGTACTGGAAAAGACTCTTGAGAGTCCTTTGGACTGCAAGGAGATCAAACCAGTCAACCCTAAAGGAAATCAACCCTGAATATTCATTGGAAGGACTGAAGCTGAAGCTCCAACACTTTGGCCACCTGATGCAAAGAGTAGATTCACTGGAAAAGAGCCTGATGCTGGAAAAGACTGAGGGCAGGAGGAGAAGAGGCCAACAGAGGATGAGATGGTTAGATAACATCACTCACTCAATGGACGTGAGTTTGAGCAAACTCTGAGAGATAACAAAGGACAGGAAAGCCTGGTGTCCTACATTCCATGGGGCTGCAAAGAGCTAGACACAAGTTAGCGACTAAACAACCATATCCAATTAAGTGAAAGTCGCTCCGTTGTGTCCGACTCTTTAAGACCCCATGGGATATTCAGTCCACGGAATTCTCCAGGCCAGAATACTGGAGTGGGTAGCCTTTCCCTTCTCCAGGGGATCTTCCCAACCCAGGGATCAAACCCAGGTCTCCCGCATTGTAGGCAGATTCCTTACCAGTTGAGCCACAAAGGAAGCCCAAGAACACTGGAGTGAGTAGCCTGTCCCTTCTCCAGCAGATCTTCCAAACCCAGGAATCAAACCTGGGTCTCTTGCATTGCAGGCGGATTCTTTACCAGCTAAGCGACGGGGGAAGCTCATAACCAATTAAAAGGAATTCCAAAAAGAGGAAGCAGAAAGTAGGAAAAAATTATTGAAGAAATATTACCAGCAAACCATCATGAAATTTCAGAAATCAAGGGATTAGAGAGAATAACCAGAGTCTCAGGAAGGCAAAATACGCGACATACAAAGAAAGGATCGAGAATCAAAACAGAAGCAGATGTCTCATCAGCAATCCTGGAGCCTGCAAGACAACGCACTAAATCAGTTTCCAAACTAGACCTTTACCCTTACCAAACCTCATACCAGTGTGAGAACAAAAGAAAAGAAAAAAGAAATCAAGTGTTTTTGTTTTTGTTAGCACGTGAAAAGAGAAACCAATGAGAAAGGAAAACTGGTTCCCTCAGCAGCAAGTTCCCCCCTGCAGCCCTGTGTACAAACAGCGAACAGTGCTGCTCTGGCAGTCACACGGGGCCCAGGCCTCTGCCTGCCCCACCAGGCCGCGTGAGCACAGAGGCCCCAACTGCCCCCATCTGAGCTCAGACAGCTTCCTGGACCATTCAGCACTGGTAGCAGCAGAGAAGTAAGGTCTGCAAATACCTGGGAGAAGGACAGTAAGTTGTGAGGAAATAGGCAAGTGCAGAAGCTGGATTCTGAATTTCCCTGGTCCAAAACCTGATCAGATAGCCTTTGCTCTATGGCCATCTGGCCAGTTTGTAAACAGTAGTTAGTCCACTGTCTTACAGAAAACAGTTGTTGGTTTTTTTTTTCTTCTCCTAGAATGCACTTAACTAGGCTCATGGTTTATTCGTACATGTTAAAAGACCCAAAGCTCTGGAAATAAATGGAAATATGCAAGTGCTCATGAAAAAGAAAACGTAGTAACCCCTTTCTGTGTCTTTAAGAACCATGCCGGAAAGAAGAAACCACTAATAATTAAAAATATTTACAAGAGGGGGACTTGAAATTTAGATTCCCATCTTATGAAGTATTCCCTCAAAAAGAGAATGAGGGAAGAGTGAGAATCACAATGTTCCTTCCTTTTTTGTCACACCGCACCTGTGCTATAGAACACACGAGCACAGGGCAATGCCAACTTGTGGGAAAGTCAGACCAGCACTCTCCAGCGCCGAGCTCCTCTCACGACTCAGATGCTCCCCTTTCAAGTCAGTATCACAGTCAAGTTGGCAAGTTTTACTGTGCACAGTTGGGCTGGACGACTCTGGCACCAGACTAGAAATATTATTTGATAGCACATCTAAACAAATCCTCCAGAAAAACAGATGGCACATTATGACCTCCTCGTACTAAACTCGCCTTTCTACTCATGGTCTAAAAGTGATGGTGGCTTTTTAGACTTGGAGTCTTTAAAAAGATTCATCAGGAGCCTGTTCAGCCCTGGATGGGGCTACTGAACAAACAGAAAAGCACGTTCACAGTTTGTGGAGGATGTGTGTGGTTTACTCAAGTTTAATCTCAATTTTGAAAATACTGCTATTATTGGGCACTGTTAGTGAACTGGATATTTTCCCCCTACATAATGATTCTACTTACAAAGTGATTGTCAGTATGTATTTTAAAGTTCTTGTTTTGTTATTAAATCAAAATGCTTATTTTATGTTTCAAGTACAGTACTGATTTTTTTACAAACAATCTATTCTTAACATGGAATTACCTATGAGGGATCCTACTACTGTTTAACTTGAGGATTCTGAGTTCTTAAAACACTCATCCACAGTTTCCCTGCCTGAGTCCAGCTGACACAAGCACTCACCCCAGTTCCTAGCACACACCAGTCGCTCTGCGCACAATTGTTATTGCTATCACCACAGCTGTAATAGTATATCAGCTTTGCAATTAAAAACAAAAAACCCAAGCCATTGAAATGCTCACTTCTTTGTGGAAAATGACAATGCAAGTTAAATTCCTTCAAGAAAACAATGAATTCATTGCTTACCACCAGTCCTTTCATTAATACTACAGTTTTTTCAGTCATTGCTTGGTCGTCTTAAGTTATTCTTCTAGCATTTTCTTCAAGAAAGACTTTGGGTTGAGTATAAAATTCTTGAGACATTTCCTGAAACTTTGCTCTCCAGTGTTCTAGAATTGAATGTTAATTTTAAGAAATCTGAAGCCTACCTAATTATTTTTACCTTTAAAAGTAGCCTGATTAAAAAAAAAAAAAGGTATCCCACTCTTTTTGGTTCAATTGTCCAAAAGATTCTATCTTTGACTTCTGTTAACTTCATTAGGAGGTCTTACTGCTGATTCACCTATGTCAGTTTTCCCTGAGATGTGGTATATCCTTCTCAATCCAAAGATTCAGATCTCTTCATCATGGGAAAATCTTCCTTATATCCTACCGTTAAATATTCCTTTTGTGCCACGATATTGGCTTTCTTCTTTGTAAACACCAATTATGTATATGTTGAATCTCCTTAACTTACACTACTGTCACATTCTCCCTGGTACTTTCTTTCCTGGCCCCTACCTCTTGTTTTCACCAATGCCTCTTCTCTCTTGTGCTGCATCTAATTTTGGCTTCATTTCAAAGTGATTTTCTTCACTTTTTATTCCACTTCTTTCCTGAGCTCGGCAGCTTACATTTCATCTTCTGGGGCTGCATTCCAAGTAATGGGCATTTTCCTTACCACACAGGGTTCTGTATGAGTCCTTTTAACCTTTACATCTCCCACCCAAAAGAAATGTGCAGCTCCATAAGCATTTCATCTCCCCCCCTGCCACTTAAACAGACTGCTTCATGCAAAGATGGCTTGATTCCTTGATCAGTCTTTCCTCCAGTGCCTCTCTGGACCAAAAGGATTCAGGCAATTTCATTTCACACCTGTGCCATCCTATTCCTATTGATGAAACAAGGGATTCTGATTTTGTGCCTCAAGGTTTGCACCTCACCATAAAGAAATGCACCCTGCAGGTTCTTTCTGAGATTCATACACGGCCCCGTAGATGAGTCTCTCCCCACCTCCTCCAGCACCCCTGCTGGATCGCCAGTGCTTCTTGCAGCCATCCCACCTGTGTTGTGCTTCCCAATTTCAGATATCTTCAGGTCTCCTAGCGTTCTCAAAGATGGTGTTTGATTTTTTTTTTTTCATTATCCTTGTTGCTTTGGAGTAGTTTCAAAGACAAGAAGTGGAGAACGTCAAGTATACTCTGCTATGTACCATGTGGAAGTTTTCTCAGTAGGAGTAACTTTTTATTACAACCAGGAGTACTGTCACCTTACAATTTTCACGTCTGTTTTCTCTCTTATACATGCCGTACACGTGCTAGGTATTAGCAACTTTAGCTTTAAAAGCTTATGGCTTACTCAAGGTCTCAAAGCTGGTTAGAGCCCAGGTCTCTTGATTCCTAGTCCATGTTCTCAACACACTGCGCATGGCCAGTGAAATTCACCGACCTTCCCCTTAAATGTATTTTTTACCAGAAGCTGATATCTAAGAATTATATCTATAAGACTAAAAAACCACATAACTGACAAGCATCAGAAATGAAGAGGAAAGAAGACCAAGCTTAGTTGGACAAGTTAGGGAACAAGCTTAGTTCCCATTACCTGGCTTAGTATCTGTCACTCCTTGCATAAGAACCAGTCCTACAGGTCTCTGGCAGGCGATGTTGCAGAAGCGGAAACGTAGCAGGAAGTCTCGGCTATACTTACGTCTCTCTGTAAACCAGGAAAAGCCATACGTGAAAGAAAGGAAGAGGAGCCACGTGCTGAGACTTCCTTAATCCCAAGAAGCTTCCAGTGCAGGGACACAGAGGAAGTCTGGCCCTGAAGACGAGGAGACTTTCCAAAGGCTACGACTGAAAGCTGTCCGTTTCACCGGGGACCACGAGGAGGACGAAAAAAAATATAAAGGAATGTGCTAAGAGAACTGAGGGAATCACGCTTCCTCGTTGTCAATGAGGTGCCAGATTTCTCCCAAAAGGGGCAGGGAGGGACAACCAGCCGAGACCACGGCATGTGCTCACCTGCGTTTGTGGGATGACAGGAGGTGGCATACTGACAGCAGTCAGTGATACCCAGGGAGCTGGGCCACAGTGGGGCCTGCAGCCTCCTCTGATAAAGCTGATGGGAGAAGTCTTCCTGGCCAGATACCTACGAGCAAAGAGCAGATGGGAATAAGGAATCTGAGATGGAAAAAGAGAAAAGCCCATGTTTGGGGACATGCGGACAAACACACACACACACAGAGTCACACAGTACATACAAAACTTGTCAGTCTCAGGGGAAAGTTAAAAATAAAGAACTAATTAAAGCTATTTTTTGTTAATTAGAAACACTGAAATGTCCACAGGGACAAGGGGAAAGAGAATAAAGTATGTGAAACAAAGAGAATAGAACCATGTGAACACAGGGTCCCCTAAATTTCACCTCGGAAAAATCTGCACTACTCTGCCAGGGAGTATCCGCTTTCAAGGGCTTTAATTTGCCATGGGAAAAGGTTTATTTGGATATTTGGATCTTCTGGATTGAAGTCTAGCATCTAAAGCCCACTACTGGGAAATCACAGGGTCAAATCAAATGGGAAATGCACCAAAGCACTTTACCGTATCTACAACACCATCCTCGGTCAAAGCCCATGAGCAGCCTGGGAGCGGACAGAACGTAGTAGGGGAACATTCGGCAGCATCAGTCATCTGCACATCTCCAACGTGTGTAGCAAAATCCCCCTTATTTCATTTACAAACAACAAATATTTGAATGCCAACTGTGTGCAAGACACTAGCTATGTGCTGGGGAGATAATCTCTCTGCCCACAAAGGACAAACATTTTCAGTATGCCTTCAGAAGGAAAGCACACCTTCAACTGAATGGCCATTTACTAGCTGTGTCACTCTGGGCAAGTCAGTTAACATCTCTTGGGTTCAATATCCTCTCCTATTGAATGGGATAATAATACCACAGACAACTAAGAATCTTGACAACAACCACTACCAATTATGGACTGCTCCCTTTGAAGCAGGAACTGGAAAACACTCTGTGTGCATTATTTTAATGAATCCACCAAAGAAGACCCTCAGAAGTAGGTCTCATTATATTCCCCAGGGTATGATGAGGCCAATGGGGCTCACGGAAGGGAAGTAACTTGCCCAAGGTGGCAGAGCAGGGATCTGAATGCAGGACTGTCTGGCTTCCAAATGAGTGCTCTGAATCACTCTGCTTAATGGCAGCTGTCACGTGGGAGGCACTTCTCAAGTCTACTTCTCATCCCCTGAGCCCCTTGGTAACAACAGCAGCTTCCTGGCAGGATAATGCCTTCCTCTGCGCATGTGGCAACCAGGACATCGCTGGCACTTGAGTAACCTCATTAAAATAAAAGCCCAAAGGGCTCGACAATAATTCAGTCTTCTTACGTCCTTTCTCCACTGCGCCTTGCCAAAAGTTAAGGAACAAATTGGATCAGCAGGGGCAAAAGAGAGAAACAAGGAGATTAAGTGACATATAAAGGAATCAGCACAAGCTGAATGCTCCTCAGCAGGGCTAAATGAACCACAATAAAACTGTAACACAGCTACGTTACAAAGATTCAGCAGTCAATAGGAATGAGATAGATATGTATGTACATTTGTTGAGTAAAAAAAAAAAGCTAGAAAATGAAATATACAGTAGTACGTCATGTTTATAAACACATACAATAGATTAGATAGCAGCCGTTAGAAGCAATCAGCATAGTATTGGAGGGCAAGAGCCCTGGGGCCAGACCACCTGATTATAAATCCTGGCTCCACCACTAACAACCTGCACAAACTAGAGAGAGTAAATGGCCTAACAGTCTCTATGGCTTAGGTTTCTCACTTATAAAATAGAAGCAATGATCGAACTTGTGAAAATTAATGAGTTAATGTACGTAAAGTGCTTAAAATAGCATCTGGCACAGAATAAGTGCTTAGTAAATGGAGACAATGATAGTTACATCACCACAGTTTAGGGAGCACTGAAAATGCACAGAAAATGACCTGGAAGAACACCACCAAACTCTGAACAGTTATTACGTGACTCTAAGGCGAGACATAGGAAATGCAGGTAATAAAGCGGGCTTTGATCTTAAGCCCGCTTTATTACCTGCATTTCCCACGTCTCCCCTTAGAGTCATGTAATAATGCTTGAATCCTTATAGAGATGTACTTGTGTACATCTATGCATTTACTTATGTACTCGTAAACTAAACATAAATTAATGATAAAACTGAAAGGATTCCAGTATACCAAAGGCACTCACGAGCTCCTAACATCCAGGCGTGGGTACCAGAGCTATCAACAGGACAAGAGAAAGCAGGAGGGAGGCAGCACAGGTGTCCCTGAGGTCCCTGCCACAGAAGCAGCCCTGCACGCCGACACCCCGATCCCCCTCCAAGCCCACCCCGCAGAGGCCGCTCCCATCTCACCTTCCAGGCTGGCATCCCGTGGTACTGGAGCTCGCCGTCCCTGATGAAATTGTAGAGAGGCGAGTTGGGCACAGAGTTCAGGTCCCCACACAGGACAATGGGGCAGTGGCTGCCGTCCGACAGCCGGGCCACCTTGTCCACTTCGGCCAGGAGAATGGCCATCTGGGCCAGCTTGATGTCGCCCCGCCGTGGGTTGTACAGGACGTGGGTATTTGCCACACATAACGGGGCCACCGAGACTTGCCCCAGGCCTTCTGGGACCAGTGGCTGGAGCAGCAATACTAAGCCCACGTTGTCCCGATTGAGGAGCTCCAAGCCAGGCCGAAAGTACTCCACGGGGCTGGCGCAGAGCAGACGGAATCTCGTGGGCTTGTAGCAGACAGCACAGCCATCTGTCTTACACCCGGTCCTCCTCTTGTAGAAACAGGTAAAGCCTGCAAGGAACACCCCGCCAAGGAGACGAGTCAGAGTCCATGAACCCTGCATCCCTCCAACCGACGGCAGGAGCCCAGGTGTGTGCGCCCAGCGCATGCCTCCTGCCCCTCAACACGGGGGAGTCCTCGCCCTGAACCGTCCCCGGGGTCTGCAGAGGCTCCCTTACAGCGGTAACCAGAGGGCTGCGTAGCTAGAAGGGGAAGGAGGGACCGAAGGGTGTGATAGGAAAAGCATGGACTCCAGGGTAAGACAAGTTGGAGTCCAGGCTCCACAAGGATGAGCTTTTTATTTATAGCTTTGTGACCTTTGAGCTAGTCACTCAAATTTTCTGAACCTCAGTCTCCTCCCTATAAAATGGGTATAATAATTTCAGCCTCAGAGAGTTGGTAAATAGATGTAAATAAATGACAATGTATGTCAGAACCACTTTAAAACTTCAGGACTCTTGTTTTTCTTCTTACTCTACACGAGGGAGCTAGCTCACAGGTGAGACACAGTTCACTGAGAGGAAAGAAGAGATGGTGCATTCAGGAGAGGGTAGACAGGGCGGGAGGAAGAAAGACTGGCACATGCGCCAGGGAGCGGCATTACCCATCATCCTCAGAGAGGGCTCCAGCTGCTCCCAGTAATGATCTTCCTGGACCTCCTGGAGACACAGGATCTGGGGAAGCGACACAGAGACCAGTCACTCCAAGGTAACGGAGGGCACTGCAGCGCAACTCCCACCCCAGGAGCGGACGCTGAAGCCACGTGGGAAGCGCTGTGGGTCTCGGGCTGGACCGCACTGACACTTCCCCTGGGGGCTGACTCTTCCCCGACTGCCACTCCAGCAAAGAACAGGCCCCGAGTGAAGCTGGATTTTCCTGCTCTGAATCGCTCAAGTCTCCCTCCCTGCAAAAAGGTGCTAGTGAGGGGTCACCGACGAGGAGGCTTCTTAGTATCTGCCCAAAGCTCATTTACACCGGGCAGCAAGCTCCCAGCCTAAGCAGGACTCCAATCACATGAACAACTGTGGGTGAACTCATTTTTCTAAGGGCACAGGGAAATGGCCAGGGTCCAGAGCAAATGCAAGGTAGCACACCCCCATCCATCCCACCCTCCCCGCCCGCCTTCGCTTACGTCCGGGTCCCAGTGCTGGAATTCCTGCATGAGATTTGCAAAGCGATAGCTCCAGTTGAGGATGTCGGGGTGGCAGTGCAGATAGAGCTCAGAGCTCTGCTGCATCAGGTCCTGGGCCAGGATATTATAGGACATCAGAGTGAACTGGAATTGAGGGCCATCCCCAGCCTCCAGGCCCTGAGCATCTTGCTGAGTGGAGAAATCCTCCCATTCTCGCCACAAGATTTCTGCAAAGGGGTGGGAAGAAGAGGTCCCACCTGGTGGTTGAGTCCATGCCATCCACAGGGCCCGTCATCGCTACTCCTGGCCCAGCGATACTGTGACAAAGTTCCCCTTCTCATTTTCCCTGTCATCCATCCCTTTCTGGGGTGATCTGAACAACACTCTAAGGACAGCCTCAGGCCAGGGAGTAAGCTCCACGAAGGCAGGGACAATTTTGACCTGTTCACCACTGTATCCCTAGTACCTAGCATAGTACCTGGTACTTAGTACCCTGAAGTTCACTAAACATGGCCAGCAATTCCTCATTTTTGATAAAGCCATGGGTCTCCGGGGAATCACTCAGATGAATGCGCTTAACGGTCATCTGAGATTAAAGACATTTCTAGAGTAATCTCAGCCTTGTCTGTTTTCTGACCTCTACACCTAGAAGGCCCTACAGAACCAGAAACTCTGTGTCCCCCATGTCCCCTTGAGCAGGGAGCTAGCTGTAGAGTGGACTGCAAACCTATGTGAGGCATAGCCCTCATTCTCCAAATTTTAATAGAAGCGCAATATGTAACACAGATAAAAATGGAGTTATCCTGGTCGGGGCAGAGACAGCAGAGGCCGTGAGAGCTCTCCACCCTCACCCCAGGTCACCTCCAGAGAATCAATAAGGTAGAGAATGAGAACTAGGGTCTGCTTTCAGTTCTACCACTACCTAGATTTGTGACTTTTCGGCATACCCTGCCACCTCTCCGAGCCGTGATGACTTCATCTCAAAAGGCCACGGGGCTGGATGAAATGACCTCTAAGGCCCCTCTGGATTTGCCGCTGCAAGTCTCAGAAAACCAGAATGCAGCGGCAGAGCTCCACACATAAGGGCCTTCTCTTTAGCAATGGCTCTGCCCACCTCCAAGACGACCACTGCCCGGGCTCGCTCAGCCGGCTGTCAAGACTCACCGTGATACGGGATTTCCAGTGGGGGAGGCTGCAGCTGCCCCAGACCTGCAAAGGGCCAGACGGGGGCCTCTTCCTGGGACACAGGCTCCGGTGCAATGCTCCAGGCCACCACCGCGGGGTCCTCGTCCCACTGCTCTGTGGCCAGCACACCCATGGGGAGGACAGCACAGTCTGTGTACTGGGGGCCAGTCTGCACGGGCACTGCTGCCCACATTGGGCCCTCGACCTCCGACAGTGGCGCCTCCTCTCCTAGCACCTCGGGGAAAGGCTCCTCCAGGTTCTCTGCTGCCCGCAGGTCACTCAGCTGCCTGCTAGACCACTTGTCCTCCAGAGCAGCATCCTGTTCTCCGGGATTATCCATCAGGAGGGCCAGGCTGCTCTCAGCGAGCCCCTTATCTACAAGGGGACCGTCGCTCACAGTTGAGAGCAGCTGGCTCGACCCTTCTTCCCGCCACTGCTGCAGCAGGCCCTCACACTCCTCCTGGTCGGGGCCCCGAGGGGCCATGGCAAAGTCCCCTTCTACCTGGGAGGACGAGCTCTTCGCCAGGAGGGCATTTTTTCGACATGTGAAGAAAGCATCTAAAAAGAAAGCCAAAATACCATGTTGCAAGATGATGGCATCATTCAACTCACACTCCTCTCTCAACTTCTGATATAAGCCCCATGCGCGTGCGTGCTCAGTCGCTTCAGCCATGTCCAACTCTGTGCAACCCTATGGACTGTAGCCTGCCCATCTCCTCCGTCCATGGGGTTCTCCAGGCAAGAATACTGGAGTGGGTTGCCACGCCCTCCTCCAGGGGATCTTCCTGATCCAGGGATAGAACCTGGGTCTCCTGCACTGCAGGCAGATTCTTTACCTCTGAGCCACGGGAGAGCCAGTAAGTCTCATACAAGCAAGAATCATATCCACCGTGCTCATCGTTGTATCAACACTGAACCTGCCTATTTTAGGGTCTGGAACATCACCATCACCAGAGCCAAGCTTACTATGTATCAGGCACTGTTCTAAGTACTTTACAAAGTATTAACTAATTCACATGGTAGGGATCTGATAAAATACTCTGTGCATGAATGAAAGAATGGCTATCCCATATAATTGAGAACAGAGGTGATCACATATAACCACACTCCTTTTGTCTGGAGGTTAAGAATCCTAATAACTTCAACTCTCTGGTTCTAAGAGCCACATGACACTGGAACCAGCACTTCACCATAACAACTGGGGGTTATGGCCCAGCACTGAAATGAACAGAACTCGGACAATGCCCCTAGTGAGATGGACTTACTCTTGACTTTAAAATGAGGACGAGGGAACTGTGAATTGGATAATCCCCAAGAGCTTTTCTAGTTCTATAAATTTCCCATTCTGTGAATGCATTCCAACAGAAAGCAAACAAAAAGGGTGTCTTAAAATCTGGACAAGCTACCTTTTAGCAAAGGCCTGGGGTCCTCTTCTCAAAGCTATTTTTTCTACTCAAAAATCTTCACAAATATCATTGTCAGCTTTCCCATTCCATAGCTCTCTAGAGGCTGCAAATCAGAAGGTGCCAACAGCTCACAGCAAGAGACAGCTGCCATCTCTCTGCTACAGCAGCCACAATGACAACCAACAGGCAAGAGAAAGCAGGTGGGAGAAACTCTAAAATTAGAGGCCCCAAAAATCCAAGCACAGTACTGTGGGTGCAAACAAAACATCCCCCAACCAACACACACTAAGTGACATGTTTATATCATCAAGTGACATGGATGATGTCCCTCCATCACTGGTGACGCATTTCATAAATTCCTTTTTTTTTTTAAGGCAAGAAAAACTTCAAAATGGTTCAAATGTTGAAAGACACTCTTATTTACGGCCTGTGTGGATTTAGGTCCCTCAAACCTCAAAGTGGTTTTCAACCAGCGGTTATTCTGCCCTCAAAATACATTTCCACATTGTCTGGAGAAACAGTGGTCGTCCCAACTGTGGGGACACCACTGGCATCTAGTGGCTATAGGATAGAGATTGTGAGCATCCTGCAGTGAGAGAGACAGCTCCACAAGGAACTATCAGCCCCAAATGTCAATAGTACTGAGAGTGGGAAAGCCTGCTTTAAACCCATGTGCTGGGTTGCTGGTTTTAGTCTCAGGGACTCCCTAATTCACTGCCCTTTGAAACATCCTCAATTTATACCAAATGGCAGAAGTTCTTTGATTTATATGTGTGAGGTTACTAGTTTTCAAATTTAGCAGGTTTTGATTGGTGGTGGTTTGTGTTTTTCAGCAGAAGAATTCTTTTATTAAAAACAGAAAATTTGTAGAAACCAAATGCACAAATACAAATGGGACTACTTTAATAGGTATGTACCTATGGGCGGGGGGAGGCCCACACCTATGGGTGGGAGGGCGGCCAAAACTCTGGCTACTGGTCAAGAAAACCTCTGGACTAGAGATCACTAAGTATAGGTCACTAAGTATAGGTCACTAGGGCTGCCATTATGAATGCAGGCAAAGCTCCAGAAATGGCAACATGGTTAGAGGAATATGAGATGGTCCTCTGAAAGCAATGGCTTCTGTCATTTCTAAGGAGTATGTATACACAAAACATTCTCGGATTCCTGAACTGAGTGCCTACTATTGCCTGGGTAGTATGTTAGCAGTAGATACAGTGAGCAGAACAGACAGTCCTGCCTTCCTGGAGCTTGCATTCTAGTAGGCAGATAAAAACATACATGTACATACTTTTAAGTGTTTTATATGAAATACAGAGTAATAGAAATTTTACACACACACAATGTAAAATTCCAAAAAAGGAAAAGCATAGAATGCACACAGCTGGACCTATTTTTAAGAAATAGAAATTATTCTATTCTATTCTAAAATTCCTTCTTAGTCTGTCCTGTCCCCTAAAATGCCAGAGAGAAGTCCAGGAGTTCTGTGGGATCTCCGAGAGGAACGGATGGTCTCTTAAGAACCTCGAAAAAGTCAAAGGCCAGGAGTGGGGTGCGCGGGCAAACCCTGGCAAAGTTAAACAGTAACTCTTCTCCAGGCCGCTGCTGAGCACTGCCTCCACCCACGACATCTCTACGCGCACGGAACACTTGCTTCAAAGATGAGGTTTCAACGTGTCTCTGGATTCTGTTGTTTTGTTTGTTTGTTTGTTTCAAACAAAGACTCCGCAGAGAGGCGGCTGGGAAAGGCGACTGTGGAGTCGACCCAGGGCAAGACAAGGCAAGTCCAGGTCTTCAGTCCACAGACCTTTAAAGGGCCGAAGGGCCCCTGTCCACGGAGAATTCGGGCACTCGCCTCGGCCCCCAAGGGGGCCAACCCTCCCTGACCCCCCGAGAAGTGACTCAGCGGGACCCCGGAGCCTCTCCGCGCACGCAGGACCAGAAAGTGGGGGAGACGAGGGCTCCCGCCCCTCCCCCAGCCGCCTCCACGTTGTAACTGTGGCCCGACGCCTCCAGGCCACCGGCGTGAGGAGAAGGTGGGTGGCGGGTGCCGCCCACGAGGGTCGCCGGCCAGGCCTAGGCCTCACGGAGTCCAGGATAAGCCGGTGGTGAGGCCGGCCGCGCAACGCACGCCGCCCCAGACCCCACGGGGGCCCCGCCAAGGCAGGCCCGGGGGCTTGGCACCCGCCCTTCAGGACGCGGGGCCGGTACCTGAGAGGGCGCGGAAAAGGCGCGCGGCCGGCAGCAGCAGGTAACACAGACACGACGCGATCATGGCCGGCCACCCGCGCCCGCCGCCCCTTCTCTCCGCCGCGGCGAGCCGGTCTCCCTCTGCTAGGCCCCGCCCCCGGGTCCGCCCCGCTCCCGGGTCCGCCCCGCCTACCCGGCTCCGCCCCGCCTACCCGGCTCCGCCCGCCTACCCGGCCTTGCTCACGTGACCCCACTGCGCTTCAACAACAACTTTATTGGGCGCGCAGGGCCAAGATTGGGAGCCAGTTCCCAAGGCAACCGAGCGGAACCTGCGGGGCCTCGCTCCCGGCTGCGGCGGCGGCGGCGGCGGCGGCTGCCGCAGGTGCTCCAGGATTTGACATTAAACCCCTCCTTGCAGGCCCCGTAGTGTTATTACTAATCCACGATTTTATTCCCACTTCTGCCACCTGACTGGGTGTCCACCTTGGTGCACCACCTAACCATTCCTTCCATCGGTTACCACGTCTGTAAAATGAGGGGCTAGACTTTGTCTCTTTAAGGCCTCATCCAGCATGACTTCTGTGATCTTGCCCTTCTCAGCTTACATTGGAAACAGAAAACTCTTCCTCATTTTTCTCCTTTTCTTAACTCTCTTCCCCAGCTCAGATTTAGGTCACACATCTAGTCCATTCCTTGCTTCAATAGGATATTGTCTCCTGCCTCATCCTGTTCCAAAGGGGCCCTTTCCGAGACACGTGCACCCCAATGTTCATCGCAGCACTATTTATAATAGCCAGGACATGGAAGCAACCTAGATGCCCATCAGCAAACGAATGGATAAGGAAGCTGTGGTACATATACACCATGGACTATTACTCAGCCATTAAAAAGAATTCATTTGAATCAGTTCTAATGAGATGGATGAAACTGGAGCCCATTATACAGAGTGAAGTAAGCCAGAAAGATAAAGACCAATACAGTATACTAACACATATATATGGAATTTAGAAAGATGGTAACGATAACCCTATATGCCAAACAGAAAAAGAGATACATGTACAGAACAGAATTTTGGACTCTGTGGGAGAAGGCGAGGGTGGGATGTTTCAAGAGAACATCATCGAAACGTATATTATCTAGGGTGAAACAGATCACCAGCCCAGGCTGGATGCATGAGACAAGTGCTCGGGCCTGGTGCACTGGGAAGACCCAGAGGAATCGGGTGGAAAGGGAGGTGGGAGGGGGTGATCGGGATGGGAAATACATGTAAATCCATGGCTGAATCATGTCAATGTATGACAAAAACCACTACAATATTGTAAAGTAATTAGCCTCCAACTAATAAAAATAAATGAAAAAAGGGGGGGGCCCTTTCCCCCTAATTTGGAAGACAGGGGGTGTCCCACTGGTAAGGGAGCCAAAAAGGGAGGCAGTGAACCCTCCACAAAGGCAACTGGACCAAGTCTGGTTGGTTGGTTCATTTTCCTCCGGGTGTCTATGACAGTGCCAGGCACATAGTAGGGACCAGATAAACCTTGTTGACAGAACAAAATATATGTCATAAAAGAAGGCAATTTCTTCCACCAGCTCTGTGCTACCCAGACCTCTTCAATCCTGTATTCCCCTTTCCCACTCTCCATCTGCTGCCTGACCACACTGTAAAGGAGTGACCGTTCAGTACCCCCAGTTTCAGTACCCCGTGTCTGAGCCGTGCAATGTCCGATTTGGGACTGACGTCTTGGTTGTTCCGGAAAGCCCTCTGGAGAGTCACCAGATCCAGGACCAGCTGGGTACATCATAACACTGCAAGACTGGAAGGAGGAAGGAGGAGTCAGTTCAGTGACTTTCCCACCCTGGCCCCTTAGCGCTAGAGGCAGCATGTGCCTTCCTGCAGTGGCACTCTTACCTTTCCCAGAGATGAAGCAGAGGCCACTGGGATAATCTGAAGATTGGGAAGCCTCTTAGGAACTAGGACATAACTACCTAAGGAGCCCCCCAAATCAGATTGACTTCCTTAATATGTACTTAAATAAACCTTCCTTGCATATCCTTCCATTTTGTCCTAATAATTACCTAAAGTTGAAGTTCCAAATCAGATCCTAAATCACGGCACTTATCTGGAGACTGTGTGTGTGTGTGTGTGTGTGTGTGTGTGTGCATTTAGTGGCTCAGTTGTGTCCGACTTTTTGCAACCCCATGGACTAGAGTCCACCAGGCTCCTCTCTCCATGGAATTCTCCAGGCAAGAATACTTTTTAAATGGGTTGTCATTCCCTTCTCCAGGGGTTCTTCCCGACCCACAGATGGAACCTGGGTCTCCTGCATTGCAGGCAGTTTCTTTACCACTGAGCCACCTGAGAAGCCCTTTCTGAAGACTAAGTTTTGTAAAGTTATGGTTCCCTTAACCCTTGCAAATGTTTTTAAAATACAACTTCCTAAAGCCCTTATCCCAGTGCTCTGATTTAACAGGTCAGATACGGGGCCCTTAAACACTCACCAAGTTATCCTAACACACATTCTCTGCTAAAGGACCTACCCTCAGCTGGGCTATTCAGTGTACATGTGGGCAAAATGTGTCAGGCCAACTGATGCCATGTTCTTTCAGAGACTTTTCCTGAGGCCAATTAAGTAAGGCTGGCTTCTTTTGTTTCCTGATCCATAATCAGCCATGTTGGAAAGGATCACAAGCTTTGGAGTTCTACCACCTCGGTTCAGATCGTGGCTCTGACTCTCTCTGCTTGAGGAATTACCTAACTTCTTGGACCCTCAGTTTCCTCACATTTCCCAACACACGGTAAGTTCTCCGTGTTTATTATTATATATATACTTGTTTATTTTTTTAAATTTAGGCCCAAAACAGCTATGGCTACTGCTGTCATTAGTGTCATCTTCCACAATTCTGGGCAGAAATGAGGATCTTCCAAACTATAATGTGGCATTGCTAAGCAAGCCATAACTGCAGATCCAAGGAGACTTGATCAGGAAAAGTGCAGCCTCAGGCCTCCCCAGTCAAAGGGAAATTACAAGTATCATCTACACCATTTGCAGCCTCGTCATGTCAGAAATATTCTGAATGAGGGACCACAATTCATTCCAAACTGTGATTATAGTGCGGGCAATGATAGACATCTGTCTCAGCCACTGAGTGGTTTCAAAGATGCAGAAGCCCCTAGTAACCATATACTCCTAGTAACATTCTTCTGGGAAGAATGTACCAGATCAGTCTGAGTTGATGCTTTCATTCATTCACGCTTTCCCTGATTCGTGCACTCGATATATTCATCAGCGATATAGCAAGCACTCATCAGCATGTACTCCAGCTGCACCCCGGTCTTTTCTTGACCTCAGGCCCACTTCTCCTCTTTCACCAGAAACTCTAGCCCTGGACTCACGGTCTGCCCTACCTATCATCAATGTGGATAAACCACCCCAAATCCCAAAAGCTCACTGTCACCACCTCCTCGTGACCTCATTTCCACCATACTCCAAACACCTTTGATATGCCATCACTGGATACTGGTCCACCTCTGAAATCATAAATTCACGCCCCCCGCTTTGGTGGATCACCTCACAGCTTTCTGCCTCTCTCACTTGCACCCCCGCATCATCTGTTCTTTAACTCCATTGAACCCGTGAGCCATTTTAAAAGTCACTCTTTTCCTGCTATCCGCTGTCTTACCCTCTGTTCTTTGACGACACCTGCCTAGGTCAGTTAAGCCATGTTCTCTCTTGGCTCTTACCCCTGAGCTGCGGAGTGCAAGTGAATAAAATTACCAGCCGCACAGAGCGGAGCTGTTGGTATGCTGGTCCGCAGCCTCACTTTAGCCCTTAACCTTCCCCCAGCCATCCTGTGTTCTTCCTTAGCGCTCTCTCTCCTGTTTCCACAATGCCCATTCTTTACAGACTTGCTGTTCGGTTGCTTCCCTTCCTGCTTTGAAGATCATCTCCCTACCAACTTGAGAGGGAAAATCGGAACCACTCAGTGAACACTCTGTTCCCACTTGCTGCACCAACACACTGGCCAGCATCAATCATCACCTTTTCCTCTTTCGCTCCTAGCACAGTGCTGACCACTCCACCGTCTTGGGCTCCTACCCCCTGCCCCCCAACTCTTGCTTCCTCAGAGACTGTACTCCTTCTGCTCATCCCTCTCCTTTCCTTCCCCAACTCTTGCCCATCAACATGTGAAGTCAAATCGCTCAGTCGTGTCTGACTCTTTGTGACCCCATGGACTCTAGCCTGCCAGGCACCTCCATCCATGGGATTTTCCAGGCAAGAATACTGGAGTGGGTTGCCATTTCCTTCTCCAGGGGATCTTCCTGACCCAGGGATCGAACCTAGGTCTCCCGCACTGCAGGCAGACTCGTTACCGTCTGAGCTACCAGGGAAACCCCATCAACATGTAATCATGCTCAGTTAACTCCTATATTATGAGACATTCCCCAGCCCATGTCCCCCTCCAGCCATTCCCCCATCTCCCTACATCTCCTTCACAGCCAAGCATCTTGAAAGAACTTGCCTGCTCCTGTCTCCTTCCTCACCCCTCATTCATCTTCATTTCTCTGAGCTGTAGCTTCCACCCTCAGCACTCCGCTGACTCCCCACCAAAGTCCCCAATATATTCCTCATGGATTAATTCAAAGGACACTCTTCATGAGTCATTATTTCTTGAAAACTCTATAAATTTGCATAACTTCCCCTACTTACAAGAGTCTCTTTCCTCGGGTTTCTGTGACATTCTTATTTTCCTTCCAACTCTGTGGACGTTTTGTCCTAGCACCTCTTATTTCTGTTCATCTGAACACCCACCTTTCAGTGATGGTATTTCTAGGATTTTCTCCTTGGCCTCTCTCTTCTTTAAAATGCCTCTGTGAAATTTTCATCACTCCAGCAGCTTCAGATAGCATCAGATTACCTACATATCTACATTTTAACCCTTTGGCCATGGACTCCTAAATCCTGCTCCTGTAGACTTCTCCAATGGAAGTCCCAGGCGTACCTCAAAGACCCACCGCACACGAAGCTGTGCTCGTTGCCTTCCCCACCATCCTCCAGCTTCACTGCCTAGCTCTTCCTCCTCTGCCTT